TGGGAATACTGCATTTTTAATAAATAGCCTTTTCTGGAAGCAAGATGAGTAGTACCATTTGTAATTCCGAGCAAATAGTAGTTTTAATTAAGAGCACAATCCCCCCATGCCTTAATTTGATAGTCCACAACACTGGTTTCACTGCATTTGTCATGTTCATTATTAATCTGCAAAATGAGCACTCACAAGACAAATGAGAGGAAAATACTCATAGGGTACATGTAATTAGCACACAACTTATTATGAATTGTGATGATCTCCTTGATAATTAATCAGGCTTACAGTTGATGTTTGGAGACAGTCCAGCCATGAGATATTTCATCAAATAAGACCAAATTCCTCTGGGAACATACAAAGACATACTGACAAATGGGTAGGCAAAAACTGCAGGTCTAAAAGAAACATTGTCTAATATTCGTTAACTTGGGCTTTAGCCTCAACTAATCAAAGCTCGAATTGTTTTATCTCAGGCTTCTGCAGAGAGGACAGCCTTGTGCCTCTTGGCGGCTGAAGCACTTGAAGGACTCGATGGGGCAGCTCTCCTGCTGCATTGATTTGCCTTCAGGCGAAAATGCAATAGACCACATGCAGAGGGACAGAGTGCAGTTACCTGTGAAGGGATGATAGAGCTGTGCAATAGTAAGGACTTGGATCTTCTCCCATATAGAAGTGCTTACCTTTCTTGGGCTGTTTTTTGGTTTTGTTTTAAATTTGTTTTTCCTCTCTCTCTCCATTAAAATGCAGCTGAAGAAGTGTTAAGTAGACTTCTCAGCAACAAGCTGGAGCCACCAGCCAAGATAAAGGGATTGAGACCAGTGTGGATTCAGCCCCACGAGTACCCTGCTACCAGAGTGCCCTTGGTGGGGTGCACACCTCTTGGAGCTAAACCATTATGAGGAGAGACCTCCAGTCACCTTCAGTCACCTCCAGCCTCTTGCAACATCTGGTCTGGGCATCAGAACAATGTAAGACTGGTCTGAAGGGTATTTCAGCTCATAATTATTTTTCTGGTATTCAATGCATGTTGTGCCTTCCCACTGGCATCCACAGAGGAGGGAATTTGGCCATACATGGTTTTATGTCGGTGTGTTCCTTTATTTGGCCTCTGCATGCTATCAGTTAACACCACAATTGTCGTCAGCTCCAACGGTAACACAAGACCCAGGCCATTTAGGAGCAGTTAAGTGATGTCAGTCTGTGCCTTTGCTGGGATTAAGAGTAACTGGAACTGACTTTAATTTATTTGTTTTATCTTCCCTCCTACCACACTCTTAAGCACCTGCCTCATAAAATCCCTGCATAAATGATTAAACACATAAGGCCCTCAAAGCTTTAAGAATGCTGCAAGATGACAAAGAAGAGAGTGACAGTAACTGTTCATGTGTCATCAAACAATCCTCCATCCAGGGCACACAGATACGGATGAAAAAGCCTACCATCTGTCACTAACAAATACCCAAACATTATCCAGTGGTGCAGCAAAGCTCTCTGTGTCTCCGTTTTGTGATATTCATCAGCTATTCCCACTCCATTTATTATGTACAATACATTTTGAGTGTGTAGGTTGCAATGCAATGCTGAGCCCGTAGAAGCCAGCCAACCTTTGCCTTATCTCTCACAAAATAGATTAACATTTCTCTGTATTATGGCTTATTTACCATAATTGCTTTATACATGTGTGGCCAACATTGAATTGCTTTTTTCAGGCTTCCCTTTAGAAAAGTAGACTTCTGATGACTTGTTTCTCCCACTTTGCAAAGTCATTAAGACAAAATGTCCTCTTCAGTATTTCACTGGTAAGTTTGCAATCTGTCTCTATTACCACATCAGTGCTGTTAAAGACATGCTACAATTTGTATTCAACTTGCATGAAAAAAATGAATGTGAGGTATTACAGGTTGTTGCATTCATGAAGCTTTTATACCTGGAGAGAGAACAATGCTCAGATTTGATTAAAATTGTATTTTCTGGCCTTGCCACATCAAACTGTTAAGCACTTTAGACATGTACAAAGCACATTAACCTGCTAAAGCTTGGCACAGCTGCACCGAGCTGCTTCTGCTGAAATGATGCTAATGTTTAGTTTGCACAGCACATACCGTAAGTGACTATGGCAGGACAACTCTGCTTGCTTGAGGAGATTTTCATTTTACCACTGTAGGAAAGAAGTGGGGAGGACCTTTGGACTTGACTCTAGACTGGAGGTCATGTCTCTACATCTGGCTGCTGAAAAAGCGCCTGATGGAGCTGTTGGACAGCCAGTAAATGAATTCAATAAAGCATAAGCCAGCTTACCAAACAAATTATTGCTCTACCTCTTGTCAGAGCTGTTCATGTGCTTAATGTATTTGTAGTGGAGTGATTTCTTTTCAGTTCTACTGGGTACAAACAGCCTTTCAGGGCAGCAGAGGTTTGGCAGCAAGCACAGTCTGTGAATTATAATGCTCCGGTACTGAGAGTAGGACATCGGTCCATGCAAAGCAGCCAGGGCCAGCCAGGAGGAGGGAGCCCTGATGGTCTAGTTGTCTAGAAATGCAGGTCCAGCTCTCTGCCCTTCCACACAGTGGAGGCCCAACTGTTCTCACATTTGTGATGCTCCACCTTAGCAAATGCTGCCTCTGCAATGTGCTTGCTGAATAGCTGAGGCTAGCAGGCACCTCTGGAAATCATCTACTCCAGCCCCAGTCAGAGCAGCGTCAGCTACAGCAGGCTGCTCAGGACTCTGTCCTGTCAGTCCTCGAGTATCTCCAAAGATAGAGACTTCACGCGTCTCCAGACAACCCACTCCAGTGTTAAACAGGAACCCTGCTAGAAAGAACCGGTGTTAACAGAAGTGCCTGAGATGAACCGTGAGACAGGCCTGGGCTTCTGCCCCCTGGGTTTTCTTCTCCAAGGCTGGTATACTGTCAGGCTAATGGGAGTAGTATATTTTATATTTTGGTCACTCCTCCTAGGAAAGGAAAAAGAAAGAAAGAGAGAGAGAAAGAAACTGTTGCTTTTAAGCAGATTGCAGAAAGATGAAAGTTATATTTGGTAAATAGTTTTTTTAGAAATGAGTAAATGATTTATTTTTCCTTAAAACTGATTACTAATATTTATTCCATCCAGTTTGGGTTGGAAATAATTATTTCAGCATTTTGATTTTTTCTTTGTCATTTTTCTCAACTCGTAAGAGCAGAATGCATAGTTGAAATAGAAATACTGTCCTCTGCGCAATTTGTAAATTCAAAAAATGTAGCTAGCTATGAAAGGCCAAACATAAGGTGCAATTAGTGGTTCTGTTTGAAAAATACAAAGGCTTTGAAAAGCCACAGATCAACAGGACTAGAAAACATGCAGGGGCAAAATGGGGAGGAAAAAAAAAGTCACAGAAAAAGCGATTTGGTTAATTTCTTGGTGATTTAAAATTATTTTCTTTGTAATATTTTGAAAAGACTGAGCAATTCTTCCTTTAGAAAATGAAAAATTATGTCCACAGTGTCTGTCTCCCTGCAAAATCCTTAAGATAAACTCATGCACACATTTTCATTGAGCACCAGCAGTAGGCAATGGTGTTTTCCTTCCACATACTGTCTGTGGGAAAAGGTGAGAAAAGTCATCTCGGTTCCTGGGACAGCAAAGGAGGCAAACAGGGCCTTTGAATCCCATGGAATATGTAATTACTATATCTGAGAGGTGATTATGCAGCAAGCAAGGTAGAGAGTGTCAACTGAATCACTGAAGTAATGGCAAAATAAATAAATAAAGGTAAAAGGTTACACAGACAGAACAGGACTCATTTCCTCCTTGAATGCGAAGGAACAGGCAGTAAAGTTAATTAACTGCTTCTGAGATGGATGGGCTCCACAGTGTAGTCTCCCAGCCATCAGGGAAGTCACCCTGCTCAGCGTTTGTTCAACTAATTGCAATTAGCAAACAAGTGATCTTTCTCATCAATTGATTAGGCTTCCTCAGTGTCAGGGTAGTGATGGCTACCTGACTTTCCCTGTGTTTTTTTCCCATGCTTTGTTAATAGTTGCCTCATTATCGATAATCACTGAGCTATACTCCCATCCCTTCGGTCAGCAAAGGAGCCTCCTTGGGCTTTGCCACACTCCAGGCAACAATTAGCAGGTATGAAGCTGCTGTCCAACCTGGAAGTGGTGATGCGCGAGATTATCTTGCCTCAGAGGCCCTCGTAGGAATGCCTGGATCACTTACACTGAGAGACTGTGAACCCCATACATTGACTGAGGATATTTTCTATTAACTACTAGAAATAGTGGAGAAGATTCACAGTAGAAGAAAGCCAAAAATTATGCTGCTGCTCTGAAGAGTTTAAGAGCTCATCTGTCAGTGCCACGCCAGGTCTCCAGCTCCTCTGTGTCAGTGCTGTTCCATGGACTTAGCCCGCACACTCTCACCCAGTGAAGCATCTGACACCATGACAGCTTATATTCTCTCTTCCGCTGAGCACATTTTTGTCCATTAAAACTACTAATGGATTATAGATTGAGCTCAAAATTCCTTCTCAGCATTAACAGCTCCCTTAATTACAAGCTGATAATCCAAAACCAGATCCCACCACTAACATCAAGTATTATACTGAACAAACTGTCCTTTCTAGGGAGAACTGAGGACGATCTATTTCCAAACATTGTTCTTTATGACTGTAAGTAAACATGTGAAGACAGCTTTGATGAAGGGCTTTATCATATACCCTAAAACAGTTTGTCACATCAACTGTAAATACCAGGACATTGTATTTTATGGTACCAGGAGCTTTATACTTAAAAAGGTAAAAAGTTGCCTGACTGTAGATGCTCTAAAATCTTCTGCAAAACTTAGTCTCTGAATTTTGTTGTGAAGCAGATTTCATCCTTACTGAAGTGGCCGTTTTTAGTCAAATTCCAAGAAAATGTAAGGTCTGAGTCAGAAATCAAAAGAGAATTTTTTTTTCTCATTCGTTACATGCAATCACCACATTCACCGGCTTTATATTATTGTCACACACAAAGTCATCATGTCTCATCTGTCTATATTTACTCATTTATCACGTACTTACAATCATAAGTATGGTTTTACTGTTATTTCAGGAGCCTACACTCTCTGGCACAAGTTCCCCAAATTCTCATGATTGCCAGCTGATGTCTGGCGATCTCCATACAAGACAGTAGGTAAGCGTAAAACAAAACACTGTCGTGCCCTATACAACTATCTGTGTATTCCATTGCACACTTTAAACATCAGTTCTTAGCACAGAAATTAGGTAATCCCTTTCCACTTCAACAAAGATCTATAGTGAATTCTATGGACTGTCAAATCTGTTTCACTACAACACTTTTCATTTAGGAAAAAAATGCCTTTGCTCATTTCAAGTCTCAAAGCAGATTATCTTCACTCAATGTGGAAAGCAGTAATGATGGACTAGGAGAGAAATCAGGACTGGGTTCTGTATTTCAGAACAAATGTTCTCTCTTTATTCCTGTCCTGCTCCTCAGCCAGTCCATTCACCACGCTGCTATCGAATGTGTCTCAGCCCAGAGACTCTCATTTACTGTAGCAAATGAGGCAATAAATCTAACATGTCATAACCCAAAGCCAAGCAAAAAACGGAGGCCTGAATCTTCCACCAGAGTAAATCTGCACAGCTGGAGTATATCCTCTATTCAGGTTTCATTAATATCAGCTGAGGATATGACCAAAGTAGTATAGATCCTATCACTAAAGCTGTATTGTGGAATTTTTATATGGGTTTTACTCGTGTGTTGGTAGGTTAGAAGAGCTGGTCATAATGCATATGAAAACTTGGACCTCTTCATAATGACACCCTCTTTTCTTCTTCCTGTACACATCACATGGGATCTTGTGTGCCTCTCCTATTAACATGTCTCCTGTCCTTGTAAACATCTAAGAATAAATTCCAGAGAGTTCACAAGGCTCCGAGGACCTACTGCTTCAGCCTGGACCAGAGTTCAGTTATTTGGTGGGGGGAGACTGCATATGAATGAAAATGTGTCTTGGGAAGTAATTTTTTTGCTTTGAGTAAGCAGGGAAATAAAATTTTCTAGATAAAAGCAGATCTACCTGCCATATCCCTTCCCAGTGTCATTTTCCCAGTCATCTGGGACTGGTGTCCCAGGCCATCTGCTTCCTTCTGCTAGCTTCTCCACCTGAAGGTAAGAGAAACACAGCACAAGCCATCACAGCAGAATAAATGACTGCACAGACTCATTGTGTCTGCTTATAATCAAACTCTAATTGCAACAGCCAAGGGAATTAGAAAAATATTGTAGTAAATAGGTCAGGGAGAAAATAATTTCTTCTGAAGATTTCCTACTCTGTTTGAGTAAAGCCTAAATCATGATGATCCTGTCATTCTTCATACAATTTAACTTCTGGAAGTTCTTTACATCCTGGAGCTACAATGTCAGCACATCCACATATGTTCACGTTTTCTCTGCAAAACTTTGCTGCAGTTGCTGCTTGCCTTCATGCCGGCTACCATACGCAATCAGGCTGCATTGAGGATGAAAGGTATTTTTAAAAAGGGAGAACCTAAAAATCCATTGAAAGTCTCTACTAATCTCCTCTACACTTGTGTTACAGCTGTGCAATAATTTCCTGGACTCATTATTATGGAAGCATTTTGTGGCCATATTATGCAGTCCAGCAGTTACCAACACTGAGTCTTCATTCACTTGTAAATGATACATCATCTCCATTTCCACATGCATAAGAAAATGATTCTATTAATACGATTACACTTCTGACGTTTCCTAACTAAGGCAGCCTGTCACAGCATCTGCAAATCCCAGAAAAATGTGCTGTTTCCCTTCATTTTCACACATGTAATCTGCTTTAACTCCATTGTTTGTGTTCTAACTTCCAGAGAGTGGTGTTGCATGGAGGAGGAATGTGGGTGAGATGAAAAGTTGAGGACTGTAACAGCACCTGTACCCTATCAGATCAAGAGTCACTCCAGTCAGAGTCCTGTAGGTGTAGTAGGGAGCAGAAACCTAGGGAGGAAGCAGACAAGAAATGTGTAGGGACATCTTTCCAATAGTATATTGTTTCAGTTTCCCATGTAGACTTGGAGACTTTCTGTATTGGAAGATTCGTTTGTTCTGTCATGTTTAATAGTTGTAGTTAAAACTTTCTTCCACCAAACCTGTTCAATTTACATCAAGAGCATCTCTCCTTTTGCTTTGCCTTCAGCCTGGAGTAAAAGTAGCTTTTTTCTCCAGCTGAAGAGATCAAGTCTATTTAATATCTCTGTATACAGAAACCATTTGATATCTGTGATCATCCTTCTCTTTTTCTTTGTACTGTTCCATATATCCTCTTTCAGGATTTTCTTGCAATATTTTCTTTTCAATTTATCTTGGCTTTTACAAATTATCTTTAAAAAGTAAAAACACTATTTTAAAACATTTTTAATATAAAAATATCCCATTACATAATGGGAAATAAGTGGCACATTCACCGCACTTGAAGGATACATATAAGATAGCATTAGAAATTCATCGATATCTCCTGGCACAACAATGAGAAACCTTTCTATCTGCCATTCAGTTTAACCAATATTTACACAAATGAAAGTCAAATAGAGAGGAACAAGAAAATAAGAGGAGGAAACATCTACACTTTCTTTCTTCTTTTTTTTTTTTTTCTGAACAGTTCCAATCCTAACCTATCTTCTGTTCCCATAGAACAATCCCTTACCACTGTAGAGAATGGCGAAGGTTATTATTAACTAGGAAAATGTGCAATGCCCTAGCAAGTTTCTTGGAAAGGGACCTATTCCCAAGTTCCTTTCTGTCTTTTAAATTGCTTGTTACTTTTGGAACAGCGCATTGTGATGTCCTTGAAATGACAAATCTATCAGGCATTGGAAACTATTTAGAAACCATCTTTACTAGCTATGTAAACAGAAAGTTGATTCCTTTTGCTCAAAGCTATGTAATGAGGAAGTGGGCAAGGAAAGCAAGAGCATTTCACAGGACTACAGCAGAAGTCTCAAGACTCATGAACACTGGAGTGTTACACAGTGCTACATAAGGTCTTTTTACATTGTCCTGTGCCTTGGGATGCTGCAGGCACTGAGGGGATGCAGCGTCACTCTCCTTTATGCATAGTGTTGGTCTGAGGCAACCACTTCATTTTCCTGATTTGCCTGCAATAAGAGAAGGGCAAAAATGTTTTAGGTGATGGCAAGGTGAACTTCAATACTGCTTTGTTTCAGAACTGCTCTCTTGCTTGTCCTTTATACTCCCCTGCTCTGTTGATATTTTTTCCTCAGTCATAGCATGAATATCTCATTTTGACTGCTTATTCCCTGAAGCTAAAATTCAAACCCTGCCTTCTTGCCCTTGTTCACCTCCCAGCCTTCCTGGCATTTCTCTCTTTTTGCACAAATCTGTACCAACAATAGCTGCTCCATCCTCATATTCCTTCATGTCTACCTCAATGCCTCTCACTCAATCTCTCCACCACTGAATGCCAATAATGACATTCTTTTGGCATTCCTCTTCTTTTACATTCTTTCTGCTGCTTCTGTCCCTCAAGAACTCACTAGTCTCTTCTCCTTTCCTACCCACTGCTGTTATATTATATATGTATTTATATATAAATTATATTTTTTGCAGTCTGTCAGTTACACCAGTTTCAATGAATTGTTTGTTTGCTATACCAAGAAACATTATTTTCTTCCCTGTGCCCTATATGAAACCTGTAATTACTACAGAGAACTGACAGTCAGCAATTCCTGAAAACCCCACAAACCATAAAGTAGGAAGATTTAAACAGTCAATAATAGCCGGAGTTTTTAAAATATTTATTGAATTATTCATTATGAAGATGAAGTCATGAGGACTGGGGGTGGCAAAAGCCAAATAGTTGAGGATAAAGACAGAGACTGATTTATCAGGCTGTGAATGAGGTAATGAATGCCATATTTGACTTTCTTTCTCCACCAGCAATCATACACCAGCTCTATATAACGTGCCTAACACTGATATGCACTCTGTTCATTCCTGCCTCCATGTTCTGCCATGACACTGGTGGGCCACACACAAAAACAGGGCTGGAGCTATTTTTTTTAGTTATTATTTTTGTGGCTGAAAGTAGTAAAGTAGTATTTGAAACTTCCTTGTGTAAAGACATGCTGCTTAGGATGGATCATGTTGCCCAAAATCCTACTAAATTCTGGTTTGTAAGCTTAATTCTTGATTAGAAGAAAGAGAGAAATACAAACACTTGCATGATGTGCAATAGTAATCCTGCTAAAGGAAGTCTGGATGAGGAACTAGTCCAAAGATCATTTTATCTAATGGGCTCCAGAGCAAGCCATAAAATGGGCATTGTGGTTACATTTATTCCTCTTCTTGCAGCATAATTTCTTATGGTATGGAATCACTGTGACTCTCAGTCTGGGACTGTCCTCCATGCAGTCTTGAGGGACTTGGACCTCTAGAGACCTTAAATACAGGCAGCATGACTCCCCAGAGCTTGCCACACAAAAAACACTCTCTTAAATCTTCAGGGACTTTTTCCCTTAGAGAAGACAGCAGTTGATAAAATCAACACTAATACTACATTGCTCCACTTTGTTCTTAAAAGAGAAGTCCTAATGAATTGTAGTGTGAAGCCATCTTCATTTTATCATGTCTTAATATCTGTTAGGAAGTTGTAAAGATTAAACTTTTTTATGTAGAAAAAAGAGTTAATAATTTATAGGAATGTAATAGAGACCATTGCACCCAGCATATTAAATAAGAGAAGAGGCATTATAACCATCTCAGTATTATTCTTTCTTTACTACTCTGTAAGTGAAGAATGATGCCTACAGATAGTGGCACAGGGACATTTCCAAACCCATATCTAGACATTTCTATATATGAATATGAGATAGATATAAGAATACGTAGTGTAAACATCTGTATTGACTGCTGCCTCCTCTATAAATTGGCAACAGAGCTCTGAGGGGTGCTGGACAGATGCAGAGATGACTGCAGAGCAGCCTAGGAGTTAAATGGGTTGTTCAAGGTGATTTTTCAGAGATTACCTTCTCCTTTTCACTCCCACACCATGCAGCCAAACAATGAAGTTGCTCCAAGACACTCAATGCCAAGAAAGAGACACTGTTTTATCTGAAGCAAAAATATATATATAGCTCTCCTCTTACAACACTCTCCCCAGTTTCAGGCACAGCTGCTAATAATAAACTCTGCAAAGCAAGTATTGGGGTTTGAAAGAGAAATGGCAAGAAAGGGAATGAAAGGAATGGAGCCTTTGACGGTTACTTGTCCCCAGAGTGATTTACATTTGTTTTCTGTGCTGGGAACAAGCAGGAAAGTCCAGAAAAGTCACAAAATACATTGCAACCCCTGTGTCAAGTTTCTGTGGAGATTAAAGTTAGCATTGTTGTTTTTTCAACTTCCTAGACCTAGAAAGATGTTTTCATCAGTGTCTTTTCTTTCTGAGGCTGATTTTTTTTGGTTTTGGTTTCCTAGATGACCTTTAATTTCTAACCATTTCCCTGAATAACAGTCATAATTACTGTAGGATCCTGGTTTCCCATTTCACAGGTGGTACATAACAAAGCTGGACACATGGAGATCAGCACGTTGACCAGCACACTGATTACTCTTGAGACTTTAATCTCAGAAACTCTCAACAGCCTTTGTTAATATACAGTCACTGTGTGACCCCCACAGCTCTCAGTCTCTGTAGCAAATCCACAGCCTACAGACAAAGAAGTACATGTACACATCCGTTAAATAAAGCACAGTCACCAGCTTTCACACCTAAAACATGACTGCAAGGGCCTCGTTTCTTTTAAAGAGATTTTAAAAGAGAGAGGAATCTATGTCTTTTAGGAATAAAAACTAATTTGGCTAAAAGGGAACAAAGAACAAACTTTCCCTTGGGCAAGGTACCCTGTAGTATGTCAGCCTCTTGCAGTTTGCCTGCTTACAGACCAGTTGGAGGGAAAGACTGCTCCTGCTGATCCAGCTGCTCTTGCTCTCCTGACTTCCAGAGGATCACACATTGGTAATAGGTCTTGATCTCATGGTGGAGGGGAAGGAAAGCATGCAAATACTGACAGCAGTGCAGGGAGCACAGAAACTCTCTGGCTTTTGCTGCTGTGCTTCTTGAGGAGAACTGGGGTGAGAAGGACCCCCCTGCCCCTTGTGTTCTCTAGGAACTACCTTCTGACACACTCTGGGACACTGGGGACTTTCCACATTTGAATGCGGGGCAGTTTTTCCTCCCTGTCTGTCTGTTCAAAGCCTGTCATGGCAGCTGAAATAGAAAGCGTCAGCTTCTCCCCCTTGGCTCCCTGAGAGTAACCCTGGGGAGGCTGCCGCATCCTCCTTGCCTCAACCCTGGGCTCCACCACAGCTCTCTAGAGGGGCTCTCGCAGCCCAAGTTCACGACTACCTTGTTCACCAGAAGGTGAATGCTGTCATTCTGTTCCCTCTCCCTCTTCACTCTGGTCCAGCCTGCTCATCTTTCAGGATGTTGCATTATAAAAGCAAATACCTGGAAGCTCAGCATGAAACACATCACCTTTCTGGTATACGTGATCACTAGCACAAGCCCCAAGCTGGCTGTTGAAATAGAGATTTTCTCAGACAGATCTCCCAGTCTGTTTCATGCTTTTTTTTTCTGAAGAGCAATAGCCTCATGCATTAGGTTTTAATTGTTCCCCAAAACAACACCATTGTTTCCTGCTCCAGACTTTTTCTTTCTGTGCTCATTTTTTTCTCCTCCCTACAGTTGCAAATGATACCCACTGAGCTCAGCAGAGAGAAGCATAATGGATTACTGTTCAGCTTCATTCTAGAGATAAGCAAAGAGCACAGAATATGCCAAAAGGAACAACCTTGAATTGGCCACATTACCTAAGAGTCATTTTTAGGAAAGTCTGTCGCTCAGGGTCAAGCTGAGTTCACACGCTGCAATTCGCAGAACTGGTGTCATTAAAGGAAAGAATTCCTGCTCTGCCTGTGCTTCAGAGTGAGCAAGCAGATTGCCATCCTGGCAAGGCTCCCAAGGGACAGGCTTCAAGCAACCACTTTGGGTAGTTTATTAGACTTTTACTCTGAAATAAAATGACAGAGTGATAAAGAATGTACAGTTATCTCTTGCTGCTGCTGTATCATTGGAAGTGTTTCTTTGCCTGTACCTTACACAGAATAAAATGTTGTTTCAGAAACCTCTTGTAATTGATGTAGGATACCAACACTGAAATTTGATTTGTTTAAAGAAAAAAGAAATCCCAGTGTGTGACCTCCAGAAATACTACATAAAGATTTCTCTTCTAGATTTCACAGTTTCAATTTGACTCTAAATTCCAGGGTGATCAATTGTAATGCAGAAACCTCTCTATGTGATTACGTTAGCGCCACCAAGCAAAAATTGCAATTTAGGAGGTCACAGACAAAAGTATAGGGAATGAAATTTAAAAATATTTTCCTATTAGAATTCATACTTTTTAAATCTATGGAAGTTTTGTGTATGTGCATTTTGTGTGTGTTGTTTTGTTTGGTTTTTTTTATAGCATTGAGTCGTGATTTTGTTAAAGTTCAAATTCAGGAGAAAATTCAGGTTAGATCTTCGAAGATGCATGACAAGATAGAAAACAGCTGTTCACTGAAGCTCAGTTTTCTGCCAAAATTCTGCCTTATGACAAATGCATCGTCTTTCAAAATCATTAATCTGTCTTATATAAAAATATTCTATAACACTTCCTTATAGGCTCAGACACCAACTTTAGTGTTTTTTTTTGGGGGGGGAGAATGTTTAGGAACTGCAAGGAAGCCATGATATAAGGCAATCAAGATCCAGATTCTAAAAGCTAGAAAAATACAAAAAAAAAAAAAAAGTTTTCAAGACTGGAAAGCTTCTGAAATAATAGAGGACATGCAGGAAAAAAAAATATAGTAATAATAAAAAAAAGCTCTAGGAGCAAAAAGGCAAAGGACTATAAAACAAAGGCTCCTTTGGCGTCCCCTGTTCACCCTGGGCTGTTGCTTGAGCGGAGACAAGGGACAGATCTGGATCCAGCTGAGTAGAGGCTGGCTGTCCCAGAAATCCCAGCTAAATTCCTCTCCCAGCCCCATGCCAAGTCAGCAGCAAGACCCTGCCATACATCCTCTTCCCCCCTAAAAAAAACCAGCTTCATAACGGGATATGAACGTACCACTCCGGTTAACTGTTACAATGCAAAGATCTTTAGGATATTCTAGTGAAGGTCCCATCTCCCTTCTATGCATTTAGGACTGACACTTCTTCCTTTCTATAAAGTTATTTATCAGAAAAGTAGACTCAGTTTTAAAAAGGTTTAAACCTTAAAACTACCTTAAACTTTTTTTTTTTTTTTTTTTTGAAATGAGCCTGCCACTGATCTGCTGAAGGCAGTAAATCAACTAAGCCACAGACTCAGTCATGTGCTTGACTCTGAATTGTGGTGGGATTTGAGCTTCTCAGTCCATACGAAGACATTAAACAACACCCACTAGAAAACCCATCATTGCAACCTGGAATGGGTCCTGGAAAAAATATTCCTCCTCATACTTGGAAGTGACTCCTCCCATCCAGCACATGCTTTGAGGCACATCTGAGGTATGATGTATGTTTTCCATGCTATCAGTCCTGTCCCTGAAAGGAAGCTTCTGTGGAACAGGTGTCCCAAAGAAAACTGAGGAGACAATGACCCTAAACTTGCATTCTTCTCTGTCTGGTAAAAGGCAATGTTAGAGCACAGTCCTGCTCAGAACTAATCTTGTAAACATGGACAGCCTTTGAGCAGCTTTGCAAATGACTTGGCTAGCCTGAGGAAGTCTATTGCTAATGTCAAGAGGAGCCCAGCCACACACTTGTTCATGCTACACCTCAAGGCACGTGACTTTATGAACTGTCTCTGCTAGATGAAATATCAGTGTCTGCTCTGAATCAGACACTCTCACGTACATCACTGCCAACAGTGGATTGCTCATTTCATCTTCCTCTGATTTCCCCACTACTGATAGCAATAGATCGCAGAAAATTAGGTGTGATTTAGACAGTGAGCCTAGAAATAGTAGGTCTTCAGCCATTTCAGCTACTGAGTTGTTTGGAACAGCTTGAGCTGTAAATAAGTGTTCAATGCTTTTGCATTTTTTATGATATGTTGATGCAGTTTTTCTGTGTCCTTGCTAATGTGCCAATGAAACATGGCACGTAGAATTCATGTATTGTGCTGGGGACAAACTGTTTAGAAGACAGTGTCAGAAAACTACAAATTAAAATGCTTCCCAGTGGAAAAAGCATAAGAATTTGAAGCAAAACTACTCTATATAATCTGTGGTCCTGAGGGATTCTTCTGATAAAATAGGCTTGATTTTAGCTGTGTCAAAGCCATTTAAAGGGAAAGTGTTTATTATTTTATAATGTCATGATTAAGAGCAATTCATATATTTCAAAAGGAAACTTGACTCCCTACACATTCAGATTGTTAGTTTGGGTTTTCAACAACAGAATAGCAAATTGGTCATTGCTTTTGGTATAATACCATCTGTCAGTATATACATACACATCTAAAACAGCTTGTGTATTTCACCCTTCATATGTTCTTCTTCAGAGCTGTGCATTTTCATTCTAAGGACTTCAAAGGACTGGGTAAAAGCTACCTCATTTGTAATGCCCAAGGAAGGATGCAACAGGCATATGAGTAGTAGTTGACCCACCTAGGTCTGCTCTGGCTCATCTTTATATTTCCTTCTGGTTTTGTATCTCATCCAAATGATTATTTTATGTCACAGTAAATGTAATTCTTGCTGTGGGAATGTATGGTCAATGAGAACTCTTCCTCTTTCCCCACCCCAGTGATGTCTTTGGTGAATGAAGTTTACTTGTAGATGTAATATAAAAATAATATTTTTGGTGATTTTTTTTCCCAATGTAATGTAACGTAATTCTGCTTTCAATCAACTGCTGTTGGTTCTTTTGGGATATTTCCCAGAAACCCTATGCCAAGTCCCAAAAATGTCTCAAGGCAGGAGTTAATATTCTCCCATTTGTTTGACAAACAGTCAGAAGTTGTTGAGCAAACCTTCCAAAGCAGTTTACCAAACCGAGAGAACTGAAAACAATTCATTCCCAAGAGGATTTTGATTTTGGCTTTAAAAATGTAACAAGAGATTTTTGTTTTCAGTTTTTCCAGGGCAAGGATATTCAGTCCAAAAAAATAGATAAGAAACTGAAACACAACTAATGTCCTTAAGAAGTCAATAGTCACATCAAAATGTATGGCTAACTCAGCTCTTGATTAACACCACATGAAACTCATGGCTCCGTAACTAAGAGCTCTGGGCAAAAGCAGAAAACTTTCTAGAGGTGTTGCCAGCTGTTTTGTAAATGCCAGAAAAAGTGTACTTTTCCCAGATGAGGCAGCAGCATGTCTGCTAGTCACAGAAGTGCTTACAATTCAGAAGTGTCTATTTATGTTGCCCTGTGACTAATTGCATTATACATACCTTGCAGGGACCAGGCAGCAGCTCCACACCCTGTCATCTCTCTTGTAAATCACAGTGCTCAAAACTGAAAAACCCTTTTCTTACCGTTTCTTTCTTTAAATGAAGTTATTAATTTTTTTAAGTAAGAATAAATACTTTTTTTTTGAGTAAGAACAAAATACAAAGTGAGAGAGAATTGAAGTGAAGATCTATAGGTCTGGAGCCACAGGCTTAGACAGTTTAGAGCAAAACTAAACTGCTGGATATAGAGGATAAAATTTCAGTTTGCAATGGGCAAAAGAATCTGGTTCACTGAGGTCACCCGAAGTGTCCTTGTGCTAATGGCCATGAAAGTCCTCACTCAAAGCTGAGGTTAGGGATGGCTGTTCCAGGACTCTCTTCCCTTCTCCCCATTGCCAAGCAGCTTGTTTGAGGCTTGAGCCAGCCTAACTTTACAAAATACTACAATTTTGGAAAAGGTCCAGGAAGACAATGAGAAAAACTGCTGAAGAGGATAAAAGTAGGTTTTACTTTTTTCTCAGGCTATTATTTACATTAGCCATTCATAGCACTATGTCAGTGCTATGGAAATACACAGGATTTCATGTGTGAATGCCTTTTTTGGGCTCTGTCCTAGAAGCCTCTTATTTCCTGAAAATACGCCAATGGACCTCTTTTTGTTTCGCGTAGTAAGGATGATGCCCAGGCCACACTTTCAACTAAATTCACCTATCCTGAGTGCCGTGCTCCTGCAGCCCTCATGGCATGGAAATCCAGGGCTGTTTCACTGTGATAGGAAGGCAAAGAGTCCAAGCAGGGACCCTCCATGGGTGCAAGCACTCCTCAGAGCCACACAGAGCCCAGGTGAGTCCGTGAGCTTGTTGCCCTGAAGGAAAACTAGAGCAGTTCAGCTACAGAAGTGAGCCATGTAAGCACGCTTCCCAGAGCCACCAGCAGCAGAAGTCCATGACTATTTCAGCTGATTCACAGCCTGATGCCTCTGACCCCAGCCTACTAGCATTGTGAATGCTCTCAGTAACACACGAAAAAATTTCAGAGTATGGGGAGAGACCACTGTGTTATTTCTTATACTGAAAGCCAACAGCTAGCTTTGGCATAAAGAAAAACTGGTTGCTTCCTCCCAGATGTCCTACCTCATTTTTTTCGGTGTTTATGGTTTTTTTCTTTCCCCCCCATGGGTAAAAAGGACCTTGTTTCTTTGCACTTAGCATTAATGATTCATGTCTCCAAGGGCTGAACTGGAAAATTTCCTAGATTATACACCTGCCTGTTCTAGGAGGACTAAATGTACCATCAGTGGGTGGACTTACTCAGGCTCCTATTAAGCAACATCTGTGGGCGGTTTTTAGTCCAGCTGTTAGCACGTGACTTATTCTGCAGTTAGATCAGCCATGCCAATGGAAAGAGTGGGCTTCAAGCCTCCTACCGAAGGGACAGATTACAGTAATTGCTGCCACCATGAAATATCTTGCAAATGACAATGGATAGGCTCAGGGCCCCACATGCCAGCTGAATAAATGAGATCTTGCTACTCAGAGGCTGGCAGGTCAAATGCTGCAAGGAGTTTTAGGGCAGGCATTCATGGCCTGGAAACACCTACCAAGATATTGAACACAATCACAAAGCACAGCTGGCAGAGCTGCCACACCAAGTTGGGCTATACACAGACACTCCTCTCTAAATGGTAACAAAAATAAACTGGCTTAATGTGACCATGAATTAATTAAACGAAAAATTTTGAAAGTTTGTACTTATGAGGCGAGACAGAGGAATGAACAACAACAAAAATCAGTGAGAGCAAACTCACCAACAAGACCTAAAATTTGATTATGTTTTAACAAATAGATGTTGTTTCTAATTAATCAATTAATTATAGTGCACACAAATTATGTAACTATTTATCAATCAATTAATCTTTAATTAACTTGTTTTTAATTACTCCCATTTTAATTAATCGATCTGTACTGTGCTTGCCTATCTCAGCAGTGTATTCCATGACCCAGGAGATCCCTTCTTATCTCCCTCCTCCAATCTCATTTTCCCTGCCCTGCTTTCCATTAACTTCACATTAACTGATCTTCTTTCCCTCTGCCTTCCCAGCTCCTCCTCCCAGCGTGCAGCAGCCAAGGACAACACATCGCAAGCAGCAGGAGAGCCCTTGGAAAGCATGACCATTAGGCAGCCTGCTCTTCCTTCAAGCCCGGAAGGATGCCAGGCACATTTGCTTTGTCAGCTTCTCTGCTGGAAAAGCAAAAAGCCTTCTCTGGGTCTGTGGCAGCAAGGTTGAAGGGGCCAGGCAGCCTGCCGAGCTGAGGGCAGGGGTGCACAGCTCCTGGGCACAAAGCAGCTCCAGCCTCAGCAATGCTGCACAGCCACAGCACCGCAGGCAAAGGATCCCGTGTTTCCCTGCGAGGTGGGGAGATGATGGACTGAGCTGATGGACCTAGTGTGTGGCTACTCAGGATCAGCATCAGAGTAGGAGCAGAAATGCTCCTCAAAAATGCACTCAGAAATGCTAAGTCTCCCTCGCAGGCCCCTTAGAGAAGCAAACAGAGTGGCACAGCCCAAGTAAAAATCTCTTCTCACCTCTTAGCTCTGTTAGCTCCTCCAGCAGAAGGCCCTCTGCTTCTCACACTGCTCAGCATTGACACCAGGCTTCCTGCTTTCCTGCTGCTCATCTGCTCGTTAGACAAAGTACTTACCTGCAGCTCAGGAGGCAGGTGCAGGTTTGGGAATGGTTCTTTGTCATGCTCGCTGATTTTTGCTTTTTCAAAACAAAGTACTGCACTTGTCCATGAAATGGATCTGATTGGATGTTGCCTTCGCTCCCCAGACTCCTGGCTGGCTTTTGAGTGCTCACAGAGGGCAACAGGCACTAGAAAAGGCTGTAAGGATGCTCGCAGCTTCTGTGTTTCTGATGCTTTGTTAACAGCCATCTCAATAAACATAATGACACCCACACTTTGAACACACAAGTGCACTCTGAAGAGCTTTCCCTTAATCATTTCTGCTCTAATACTGTTTTAATCCTTTCTACCCCTATGGAGTTGCCAGAGTTGCAAGTCCCTTTAAAAAAAATGTAATAGTATCACAGTTTAAACATCTACTTAAAGCTAACAGAAGGGTGATATGTATAAACAACTCATTTACTGAAAAGACCAGCATAAAAATCTGACAAGCAAGGAAAAGCAATTGAAAAGATTAATTTGCCAAGCAGCAAGTCTGAAGATAAGTCCTTGAGATGCAGCATCTTGTCTTCAAGGATGTCTCAAAAAGTGATATGGCTCCAGGAACTTTTTTCAAATTACACAGATTTTGTATTATCTGTGTTACTTTTTCAATCAATACTCATACTTTTGTATTCAGTTGCAGACTCTGCAATGTAGGGACAGTCAGAAGCACTGAACTGAATTAGTATTTCAAGTGCAGTTGTTAAAGTCTAGTGCAACTCTAAATGGATACAGTTACCTAGAATGAGTGGCTGAATTTCATTTGAAAAAACTTCACATTAAAAAAAAATACATTTTGTTTGGTGAATATTTTGGAGTAGTTAGTCCCAAAATGTCAAAAGGAAACTTTTCAGAGGTAAACTTTTCACAGTGCTAAAGCCAGTGTGGCACAGAGAGTACTGTCAGTAATGATGCCAAGTGGGCAGGAGCCCTGGACATGGTAATGCAGGCATATGACTAACTCCACATGTCTAATGTACCATGGTGCATAACCCATGAATTCACCCGCCTTGTCTGTAAGACATTTGTGCACAGCATACAACAGAAGGAACAATGATGAACAGAACCTAACTACAAGGTTTTCCAGCTGAAAAATGTGATGGGTTGAACAAACAGTGACATTCCACTGCAAACCAGTTTCATATAGACTGAGAAATTCCCGATGGAAACTGAACATGTAATAACACAGTCTTATAGTTTCTAAGTCTTACCGTTATAGTCATTTTTTGTGATAATAATCACTCCTTCCAGAAGCACTAAAGAAAATTAAGTACTGCAGCAGATGAACCATATAAAATTATTATACCACTACCAGTGATGGCAGAAAGCATTTAAAACAGTTTTAAATGGTTTATTGTATGGGTGTAATGACACATAGGGCAGTTGTTCCAATCTGAGCACTCCACTGTGGCGGTATTATTTATTATTAAAAGATTTGGGGAGCATCTCTTGCCACAGCAGTTAGGTGCTTATTTATTCATTAAAGTTGGTAAATTACATGAATGCAGAAATACTAACCCACAATGCTTGCAATTATGAATACTGTAATTTCATCAAATTGGGTAGAAAATCATAAAAATGCAATAAGCAGACAAAACCCAGACCTCACCATCTTATCCACTGCTTAAAATCCTGATAGTTTCAGTGGCACGGAACTTCAGCGATTCCAGTTCACTGGAAGTTGTACTGAGCCTTCCATGCCAGCTCAGATAACAACCTTGGAGATGCATAAATAGGGACTGCAGTGTACTTAAATAACAAGGGATCCAGCCAAAGAGGCTTTTTCTTAGCACATGATGGTGACTTCCACATGCAGGGACCTCCACTGAGTTTAACAAGGCTACAGGCAGGAAAGCAGGTGTCTTCCCATTTGAAGCTCATTATATAATATGATCTTCACTTTATAAGAGCCGGATTAACTCATAGGGTACACTTAACTTCTGATATTTCCAGCGCCAAAGGCCTTGGCAGGGATGTTGGGGCCCTTTAGAGAGCACTTTGAGCCACTTTACTCACTCACGAGAAATTCAGATTTAAGACACAAGGGATGTTGGGTTAAGCACAGAGTTGCTGGGGCACTTCTATGAGGCAGATAAAGGCTCCTTTGAGAACATCATAAAGGATAAGCTATATTCAAAGTTTTTACCCACGGAGAAACAATTGAGTACCTCCAGGACCAGCCCAGAAGGCCATGCTGAAGACGAGTGATGAATTTGGCCTCAAGCCACACAACCACTCTCTCATGACAGGCTGTGCAGAGATGTTATCTCCTCCTCTCCTTTTGAACTGGTTCCACTCAGAAGAAAAGCTTTTAAAGATTCATTAAGCTATAAAGTGAATAGACAAGCTAGAGATCAGGAAACTCACCTGGGATTGAAAAATCCTCAGTAGCACACCGTGTTTTAAGGTCTTTGGAAAGCAAAGTGTTTAACAGAAGTCCTTAAGCAACTCAGTCCAAGGCTATCCAGGGTCTGTGGGTGTACAAAAGGTTTATTAATGCAAAAGCTGTCAAAATGTGATGATGAAAATGAACACCAACTAAATAATTCAACACATATATTTTCCTGCTAATTAAAGATTATAATCAAAAGTGGTAATGATTTTTGCAATCATGAGTTAAGTGTGTGGAAGGAAAAAGAACCCGCAAAGGGATTTTATTAGAATCAGTTCTGGGTTGTTGAAACAAGCCTGAAAGAACCAGCATATAAACAAGTGTTAATTAATCAAGCATGCTGATAGCTCAGTATCTGCATTTTCATAAACTTCCAGGCAACTCTGTCATTCCCTGTGCAAAACCTCCATCATACACTGTGTCTCCCCAGTAAACATTGTCTCATTTGATGAAAATTTCCTATGAATAAGGATCTGTTCCTAAATCAAATGTTCCTAAATCAAAGTGATTTTTTTTCCACAGAAATCCAGTTTAACAACAAGATAAATAAAAGATTTCTTTGATTGTCTAGATTGGGTGTCTAGCTAGAAAAGCAAAGCACTTCTGTTTTGGTTTTTAGACATAACATCACCATGCAAAACAGCTTTGTAAGGGAAGGATAGGTTCAGAGAAAGCCTGAAAAGAAAGGGCAGGTTTCTCCCTATCTTTGGCAGGTTTTATGCAGGGTAATTGCTGCACAGTGGCCATGAAGAAAACAAAAGAGTAGATAATAATATCAATCATTCAGCCCTTGAGTTCTTCCTAGGCTATAACATGGCAACATGCAATTACCCAGAGTGCAATTACACAATTTATGCTTGGAGTATAATCCTGAACAGTGGTTTCAGCTACCAATGTTTGCTAACAACTTCTTGCACCTTCATACCTGAGGGAGTAAGTCCGTATGTCCCTATACTGTTGTGACAGCCTCCATACTCAACAGCAAAGTTTCACAAACACACTTAGACCCACAGCTCAATTAATCTATTCTTGGGAAACCTTTTCCTACTATCCAATTTATTTCTGAAAATCTAACAGCTTGTACTTCATGTCACTGATTCTATTTAGAAAAACACTTTCTAATGAATTTGAAAACCACTTCTTAGTCCACATGAGTGCTATGAACAGTTCTGAGGTCATGCTATTTATTCAGTCTTGGCTGGATTATGGCTTTTTTCTAGATGAAGGTCCAAGGTAACAGTACTAAGACCTTGTAAACAGAGAAGAAAAATGACACACAAATTAAAACAAAAACTAAACTAGCTAGCCAGCTTGTTTTGAGTCATTACTACTGTTTGCTATTATTCTGTGTACCATTATTTTTTCTAATGTTCACAGGTAGAGATGTTTTAAAGAATTTTTAAGGTCAGCAAGTAAATGATTAATAGCTTATGAAGAATTTATAAATGATTTTTTTTTTCTTTTTATGTAAAAGCTTAATGAAAGTTAATCCTAAAATATCATCTACATCAGACAGAATACAGGAAAAATAACAAAGGTCTTTGTTAGGCTTGTGTTTGCTCAAGAAGAGAAAAAATATTTTACACCAAGGAAATGACAATTTAGTTTTCTGTGAAAGTATTTCCTTCTTAGCTATTCAAGATGAACTGTAATTGAAATGCTAAGAAAGATGGAAGAAGAAAGAATTTAAATGGGCAGAATCAAAATAACACTGAGCTACAGGAAGAATATTTTAGTGACTGTTTTAAGCTTACTCATCAATTAGTTTCTAGATCCAGAATATATCAAATATGAGATTTTCTCATTAAAAATCTGCAAAGCAGCATGTGTGACATCAAAGTCAGATAGTTTTCAGGTGTTTGAATATCTTGAGTCCTAGTAGCTAAAAATGGGCCTTATCTGTATGCAATAGGGACTGACTCCTCTATTGCAAGAAGCTGGTGTATTCATTTCCACCCGTGCAAAATGAATGCAAATCACTGCTGATCTGAGAGAGCAGATTTTCAGAATGTTTTAGAAGACAAACTAGTCTGGAAAGGATCTCAAGATGTCACCTGGTCCTTCTTACTACCCTAAGGCAAGATCAACTCTACATGAATTATTTCTTGCTGACATTTGTCCCACTTAAAAAATGTTCTTAATAATATTGCAGTGATGGAGTCAGCCAGCAGTAATGGCAAAAGAATTGGGAAAGGTTACCAATTTTCATGATAACTTAATTGATTTGAAACATTAATAATTTTCTTGTCTTTTCTTCCTTTTTCACAGTCTTCACATATAACGCTTTGTCAATGTGTTAACAACCTATAATCTTGAAGAAAAAGATGCACCTGGAGAATTGCTAGAGGATGTTATCTGTGTTTTCATTGCATGGTTGCACTGTCTTGCAGTGATGAAGCAGTCCCACAGTTACAACACTGAAGAGCTGATCTATTTCCTGGTTACTCATGATGCCTCTTGGTGAAATTAAAAGCACAGCATGGTGGTTGACAGGCCACTACCTCCCAAGGCACAGTCACTCCTGAAATCATCTTCAACTCAAGGTAGAGACAGGGGAACCAAAATCACCCACAAAGGTTTGAGCTATAAGAACCTGCAATAATGACAGCTGCAAATTCTACAAAAGACATTAACACCAATTCCTCCCTGCAAAACCTGTGCTGACCCAGTAGCCCTTGCACACATTGGCAGTCCCATTGACATCGATTAGGGTATAGTATCAGTGCCTCAACAAAATAGTTTTTAAGTTATTATGCCAGCAAGGGAGCGTTGTTAACCCTTCTCTCATACCACAGGGTAATACAGCAAGTATTTTCTTTCCTGTGGTTAACTGAGGCATCAAACGTGAATTTTCCACTGTCAGGTTATTTTATCTCAACCAAGGATCGGTATTTACAAATAAAAATTATTCACCATCAACTACTGAGAATAGAAGACTGGAAAAATAAATAAATTGGCACAGAGGCTGATTGCACTGGTTTAGCTGGTATTTATATAGACTTCTTCACAAAGGTCTACAGTGATGTTTGCTTCTTGTGAGGTTTCATGGGTCCCTAAAGCTTCATGTGTGGATAACAAAGCACACGTTAAGGACAGAAATAATAATTCGTGGTAGAGTGAAACACAGCCCAGTTCCAAGTCACTGTTCTAGTTAGCACATGCTATAAGATGGTAAAGCACGATGCAGTGTGAAATCAGCCATAACGGGTCAAAACTGTATGCTATAAATGAAGCTAGTATGAGTACTGCTCACCTCAACTCAGACTAGAAACCCATTGTTCAGGGACAATGTTGGGTAAGCAAGGACAGTGTTCAAACCCACAATGGAGAGATGTAGTTAGACACTCCCCATAAATTTTAATAATACTATAGTGGTGGATGCACTGATGTGTGCACAGATATAGTTATGCTGCTATTTATCACCACCTTGGTAAATTTACTTAAAGTGGTTTTGGATATTTTGAATTGTTATTTTTTCCTGAGAAACTGCTTTTAGGATCTTATAAAATGCACAGTTCCTTGACTGAATAGCAAATGTTGTTCCACTTCAATTCAGAGCAGCAATTTACTACCTGCTCTGTTGTTATCGTTGGAGAACTGTCCATTAGTGCCTGGGACATACTCTTCTTGAAGTTGGTAATATTTTTTGCTTTCTCAAAAGCAAGGTGCTAATCAAATTCCCTTTTCAAAGGCTCTCCTTGTATGACCCTTTTCCACCCTCTTTGTCCTCCCAGCACTCGACAGATCTTTTAACCAGGGTAATCCACTTCCTTCAGGCAAGAGCCATCATATCTAAACCACAATTTCAACCTTTTTTTTTCACTGTTTTTACAGAAGAAAGTCTAGGGCAGGTGTTTCAGAATGGCATAGCAGAAAAGGTGAGCAAAGGTGGGAGGACTGCTGCTTGCAATCAGGGAGTAATGTTGGTGGAGAGGAGAGAGTGCAGGAAAATCCTACCACCTCCCTGATTTTTCTATATGTAAACTCAGGTCTGCTCCTCCTCAGGCATCTGGGACAAGCAGACTGTGGTGGGACCTTCAGAAAGATGCCTTATTCCCTGCTCTGGAAGCGGGCAGCCATAGTGATGCCCAGACAGGCACGGAGCTGGCTTTCACTGCCTGAAAGGAGTTTCTCTAAAATGCTTTTGCTCTAATGAATAATGTTTTACTTAAGGTAGTTGTCCAGTCTTTAATTACCTCTTTCATTACTTCCTAGGGAACTAACTGCAAGCCAAATCACATTCATTGAATTTAAATTGCTTGGATCAGAGAGGTTTTTTCTCTGGGCTGTTTTGAGGTCTGGTACTTGCAGTGGAAGGTATCCTGTAAGAACAGAACGGGCGCACTTCCCAGAAAGCATATCTTCTGATTAGCACAGCTCTTTTCCAATTGATCATTACATGAGGAAAACAGTATTGAATGCAGAATTACTTGAAACTTACTGTGTGAGAGCAAGGTCTTCTCCACTGAATGCAATCCACATTTTGTAACTAGATGTTCTCTTTCCCTTCTGTGAAATCTGGATCTTCACTCTCTCATCAACTGTAGTCTCTACTCTAAATTGCTGTCATTTCAAATCACATCAATGTGAATATTTCCCCCTTCTGAATGTCAAGTGTTTGAGCAGTGTTTGGATCTTGGCTTCGAATTCAGTGATTCCAAAAAATAGAGAGAGATCAGGGTTCAAACCTAGAGAGAGAAGCCTGGAAAGTAGTTCAGTCTCATGGTATTGAAATGCTGAAACAGAGAGAGTATAGAAATGTAGCAGGCTCTCAACCCTCCCACCCCTCCACGTGCCTAAGTATTGCATCTTGTGTCAAAAGAAAACTATAAGCTCTCTGGCACAAGGACTGTTTTTAAATTACTTATTTGTACAGTAATTAGCATGATTGGCCCTTGATGGGACACCACATCAATCTGTCTGTCTTTTCACTAAGAAAGCCCTATGTAACAACACTGATCCACTGCAGTCTTAGGTACTGCACAAAGGGAGACCATGACTCAGGGAAGAGGGACAATTTCTAATTTCCATCATTCCCTTTATTTTGCTCCAATTTCCCTATACACAAGTCAAGTGTGACCAGTTTCTCTTGCCTGGCTGAACAGAACAGTTCAGTCTGACCCCAGAGTTGAAAACATTTAGGCAGCACACTCTGCAAACACAGCATTACTGATAGAAATGCATGTTTCCTCAGAAGGCCTCTGTTACTACTCACTTGCACAGGCAGTGCTTAACCAGCCAAAAACCTCAGTGGGGAGACGGTATAGCATTTCCAATTGCTTTGCACAGGTATAACTCTCCAGTACTTGATGGGCACATTTACACCAGTAATAGACACACATACACGTGAGCAAACATTTCTCAGGGTTACTTCCACTTTAGCAAGATTAAGACAGGTTTATCATAGGCTTACCCTCTCGATTCTAACTATATTAGGTGTATTCTCAACTATCTTTATACCTCTGCTTTGGAGACTAGGTTTAGGGACTAATTCTGCCCTTACATGCCATGCCAACCATAAACCACTGCTTCGGTTCCAGGTTTCCCTTCAGCTCTAGGATGGGAGAAATACTGTCTCAGCTCAGTGAAATTTCAGTTCTGCCAGGGGCAGGGAGAATGACACTGAAGCTGTTTAATGCACAGGTAGTGAAAAAAAAAAAAAAAAAAAAGGTGCCTGAAGGGAATAACTTGTCCCCCAGGGATGTGACCACAGTATGGGGCAGAGGAGGCAGCAGGAGGTACCGACTCCTCCTTCAAAATAGAAAGCAAAGCTATGGCTCCTGGGACCTGTGAAAACATCCCTGATGATCTTACAACAAAAACAGGTAAAAAAATAAATAAGTAAAAGTGCTGGTGTCTTGAAAGGTTCTCAGGCAGCAGCCCCTGCTGCTTAGCCTCATGTTATGCCATTAATATGGAAAGCTTGCAACATACCCTGTGGCACTCCGCTAGCAGAAGGCAGCCTCTCAGCGGCGGCCTCGTGCAGCCGAGGATGAGCTCTGTGATTTTGGTGAGCTAACAAACATCACCAGCCCAGCAGGAGTCCTTTTTGAAGGAAGGGAGAGCAGCAGGGACTCCAGGCTGCAGCGAGCCTAACATCAGAAAGCACAAGTCATCAGCTGCTGGCATGCGATCTGTCTGTCGGTGGGCTGAGATGCCGGCAATTTGGGTTTCTGTATTTCACAGCCAGCGAAACAGCAGCGAGCTCTGGAGCAGAGCTGATTCTCCTTGCTTGAGGTGCACAGGTCACCTTTGGTTTGATTTAATTTTTTGAGGTGTCCTGCTCACAAGCAAAATTTGGGTCCTAAATCCAGTTTAACTCGGCTGCACCCAGTTGTTGCTGATTTCAGGACTGCATTTCTGACTGCTGGCCAAAAAAAATAAAAATTAAGGAGGTTGCCCTGCAGAACAATAACACTGCCTCCGATCAGTGGTAAATCATTACAAGAAGCTGATATGTCCCTGGTTCATTGGGAGTGAAATAGTACGTTGAACATTTCAGTAATCTGCTCACTTGGATTAACAAAAGAAAGTGGAGGCTAGAAGTCAACAGCTGAAATCTTTCTTAGCTGTATGGATCCAGACCCACAACTGTTTAGGCATTTAACATCAATGAAAACTCTGTGATATAAGCACGGATCTGTAGGGTCATGTTAGTGTGTCTGACATGGATTCTTACACCTTCCCATATGCAAACTTAAAGTCATGATAGGGCAATGAAATGTGCCACAGTGGTGTAAAATTACAGTAAAGAAGATGAGCCCTGAGGCAACATCCCCTCTGAAAAATTGCTTATTTAAAGTGGGACCATAACAAAGGACTTCCCTCATTTTCTCTGTAGAAAGCACAGATCAGATATTATTTTAAAAGGACTTCTGGCTGAATTAGAGTTTATTTTAAAAACTGTGTTCTGAGGTGTCTTTATTTCCTGAAGTCTGAGACTACCTAGGTTTCAAACACCGCTGCCATGCTTTCTCAAGCAGAGACAGCTCTCAGAACTCAAGGTCTGGTTCCCCAAAGTATAATGTGGTTGGTTTCCCTGAATGCAAGCCAAGACAGAAATCTAAACCACCACTGAGAGAAGAAACTGCTTTAGTGGAAATAGAAGTATTAGGAGATCCTTTTCTGACTATCAAGAAATATGATGGGGAAAACAAGGACTGAGGAGAAAATAAAAAAATCATGAAGCCTCCTCGTGTACAATGCCACCAGAAGAAAGATGTCCAACTTCTGGCTCTGTGACCCAAGGAGGCATTTACCTGTCTTTATGTGATCTGCACACACAGACACACACATGAACATACACATATTCTGCTTTCTGTCTCTTCATCATCTGCACCCCGGACTCCACCTCAGATAATTTAACTGAATAAATATCTCATCACCCATTCTGCAGCAAGGAGAGGCCTGTCCCAATTCCCAGGGGAACTGAGATGATGAATGAAATGAAAGATGACACTAATCTGGACTAGGTTGTTCTCAAGAAGTTGGGGTGGGAGAGAAGACTGGTGGACAGATTTAGAACCTCATTAACTCCTTCTTCAGAAATGCACTCCCTCTGAGCAACTTACAGGGATAAAAGCACCCTCAGAAGTTGCTTTTTAAGTCACTTAAAGGAAGAAGCTGCAAGGGAAAAGCAAGACTGAAAGTGCTGTATTATTCTGTAGGAATACTGGTTAGTTTTGATGAAAGCACTTGGTTCATTAATGCCTTTTATTTTGAAGGACTGCTAATCTCTTTTAAAGTTTAACTGTACTCTGTGAACAAGGATCTTTTCACCTGCCAACCAAACACAGAAGTTTAATTGCATTCATCTACTACAAATGAGGCTTCAGGGCTAAAAGCAGAAGAAACTATTAGCCATGGTGAAAACTGTAGAATAAATATAGGATAGACTGTCATGTAAAACTGCAGGCTTAAGAACTGAGCTGATCTATCAGAGGAAAAATCCAGAGCATAAAAATCATATGAAATTTACAGATTGGCAAGTGCTTATAACCATTAATTGACATTAACCAGACAAACACGTATGCTCCAGAGAAAGGTGGGAGCGCAAATATATTCCCTTTAAGCATCTCTCCACTGACTTCCTCTAAGCCTACACAGATCCTTGTACCAGATCAAGGTCCTGAATCACGACAGAGCAGGAAGCCTCCTCCTTAACTTTTTTTCGAATCATGCCCAAGGGCCAGCACTTAATTTCTCACCTTACAAGACTCAAAAGTGTCACCATGTTCTCTTCCTGGTCTTGCCCTTTGTAGGAAACAAGAACTCAGAAAGACCTAGGAATATTACGTAATTGAATGATCATTGTGTATTATTTACCTTCTGGTAGCAGCCAGACGTGTATCTGTTTCAGCTCTCTTCTGGCAGGGCACAGGATTTGCAAGCTGGAGTCTGTGGACTTAGTCCCCTGTGTTGATGGCTCTTCTAGCAAGCCATGGGCACCTAGCTGTGAGACATTATTGTTCTATGTTCCAAAATTATTAAGAAACTGTAGGATCTACCAAACAAAAGAGATGTTGTTTGCTGAACCATAACAACTCAGGCTGTTTAACTTCCATCCTGAACTCTTCCTGGAGGCTTTCCAGCAGCTCTTTATATCACAGTTGCTCAAAATGTTTGCATAAGGAAAAAAAAATAAAAAATACTGGAGTACAAAATACATATTTTTTGCATACACTACAAAATATATATGTTTTGTAAGCAATAAGAGTTTCCTCATGATATTTAAATGATAAAATTAGAAGAAGGAGCAGATGCTGCAAATATAAACACTACATGTTTTAGACACTAAGACATTCTGAATTCACCTTGCTTCATACACTCAGGTCTCCGTGACGAGAGTGAAGGTTTTCTTCTGCAACACCCTGATCCAAACAACAAGGAAGGCAGAGGTTGCTGTAGCATTTACCATAGTTCAAGGGTTAGTAGATTGGCTGTTGCATGGCAGCATCCTTTCAAGTGGATCAAAAGGCAGAGATTTTCGCACAGTCCTTTCTCTCTACCTGCACTGTCCCTGTCAGTCTTGACCAGTAGCTGTTGAATTAGTTACCTTTAAGCAATTACCTTTAACTTTGAGCAATTCCTCTTGTTTTAAGAGGAATTTCTCAAACATTGCCCTTATTCTACCCTCCAGCTGTGCTTCTCAGTGCTGTGGTCCTCCTGCTTCTTACAGTCAGTTTTGCATAGAACACACTTCTCATGTTTGTAAACAAGGTTTTTCACAGGTCTGAAAAAAGTTAGACATTCAAAATCCTTATCGCCCATGTCTGCTTGCTTGAACTGTGTCTTGGATATTTAGTCATATACCTTGCACACATAGGCACTGATACCTTTACAGTCTCTATCCAATTATGATCAATTATTTCCTGATTCTGCTGCATGAACCTACCATGCAATACACCAAACATGCTGTGTGGCAGAAGCAGCTCTCTCTGCTGGAGGAAAGGAATGATGCAAAAAACAGAGAAGGATATTACGAAACATGACTTTAAATTTGCAAACACTTTCAGCCTATTCATACAGTACAGCATGGACACCTGATTATTGTTGCAGAGAACATGAAGCCTAGATTTTCAGTGGACTTAGCTTATCTGGTTCACCCAGAACCCAGTGGTCTGTGCAGGCTAACATTGCTTTTGTTGGGTTTGGAATCTGGCCTTCACACTACAAAATCCACCAAAATTCATTGGCAACTCTGTCTATACAAGGAATGCAGAGCAACAGACCCTGTCCCTGGTTCTAGATCCTTTGGGATGACTTTGGAAACATAGTTGTTGACGTCTGTGGGAGAAGGTTCATGTATTCTGACCTTACCAAGTTTCCTATGCTCCTCATTCTCGCCTCACTTAAAAGCTGCTTATGAGATTTTACTCAAACTTTCCAAATAATTTTGCTCTTGGATATAACCAAGCCTGGGAAATTTTCATAATGCTAAGTTTGGGAACATTTAATGTGTGTGAAAAAAAAACAAAACGCACCATCACCAGCACCAAAACCCAAGAAGGTATAATGCAAGCTCTTACAACATTTAACTCTAGTGGTTTCTATTGGTTATAATATCAAAATAACACAAACAAGGAAATATTGAAAGGAGATACTTGCAGGTATGAAACAGGAACTTAACAAGGATGTTGTCCGCACTGTTTTTTGTGTAGCAAGGAACATAGACTTGTTAGACTGTGAGGAATCATTGTGACGGGACGTGAGGCACAGATAGATGTACAGAAAATGGCTATCTGAAACAGGAGCAACTGAAATCAGCAGCATGAGAGGTTTTTTCCAGTGCAGTACAACCTGAAGGCAGCTGTTATCATGCTGGGTAACTTAATACCATTGGTTAGACACAAGGCAAAATTAAGGCCCTACATTTGATCTCCAAATGCTAAGATGTTCAGGTTCTTAGGGATCAACACAAGGAGTAATACAAATAGCCTTGGAGAGAACAGGCAGTGTTTTATCTCCACATGGGGAAACTCGATGGTTATTTGAAGAGTCTTTTTTTTTTTTCAGTTTTGTTTTGCTTTTCTTTTGGGAGAAGGACTTAATCCTGCTGCAGCATTTATTTAATATAACTCTTTTTAAGGTGGATTCTTGCAGTTTGCAAGTTTGCTTGAGATTTAAGATGTTAAAGAAAACAGTGTAGTCCTTTATTCTCTTTGTCAGCATGAGGGAAAAAAAAATCATTAGTTTTAGAGTTCTAAATGAGAAGATATATCAAGGAGAAAATAGGCCCAGAGTCTAAAGAAAAAGAATACTTACATTCTTGAAAGAACTGTGGGAAAGACTAAAAGCATTCCTCATACACAAATATTTCGAGGCATTATAAATTGATCTTTAACAGTTCATCTGAGATGAATCCAGGTTCTCAGATTCCAACCCAAGGTGACTTGGATTTCTTAGTTAATTACACTTAAAAATATTTTTTTTATATTCTCTTAATTTAACAAGAATGGGGAAAAATAGAAATGTGAAATTATAAATTATTTTGATCCAGAGGTCTTCAATCCTATTCTTACAAAAAAAATCTAATAAATCCTTTTCCCCAAAAGTGGTGGAATGTACCATGAAGAGAATGCCAGTAGCAACAGGAAGAGTATTTTTTAACAAATAAATGACTTTTCTGTCATGAGTTTTTTATTGCCAACTCGGACTTTCTTTTCCACCAGTACCAAATGGAGTAAAAGAAGCTGAAGTTGTTATTCTGACCCTGCAAGCCCTCTTTCCCAAGGTCCCCATGGTGCCTGGAGAGGAGCTTGCATGATGAATGCAGACCGTGGCAAAGCCAAGTGGACAAGAAATCAGGAGCCCCTGCATGGGCTCTCCCGCTTCCCAGCCAAGGCAGCTGCAGCAGGGGCTGGGTGCGTACAAATAAGTGCAAGTACAAATTCTTCCACTCACATAGGCAATGAAGGCAGTGTGATCCCATTCACAAACTGTCAGTGTAGGGCCTGAGGTCTGCTCCATCCATCCACTCAAAGCTTCTAACCTTCACCTCTCAAAATAACTAGCATAATACTTTGGCGTGTTGCAGCAATGTGTATAACCTCTAAAGGTTAGAAAGGGCCTGTTCATCACCTCAAAATTTGTGAGATTGCTTCAGTCTAATCTTAGCCTGCATAATTCTCCCCAGGATGAAAGATTTAGGGTGGAATTTCCTGGCCAGAGATTCTACGCCACCTGAATTTTGACTGCCAGAGTCCTTATTGCTTCAATCCTGTACTTCTTTGTCATTGCCAAAATCAAGAACTAGGTGACAGGGAAAGAAGACAAAGTGTCTGAAGAAGGTATTCTCAAATCTCACTCTGCAAACAGCTCTTCATCAGTTTCTAGATCATATCCGCAAACAGTCCTCATAGGATTCAGAACTAAACCTTAACTTAAGGCCCAAGTTAAGACTACACAGTGAGACCCAAGTCTTGCACTGAACCTACGCAAAAGGCTAAAGCAATTCAGAGCTTTATCTGCTAGTGAAAAGCAGAAAAACATGAAAGTGTCAGATTGCTTCCTGTTTCCGGCACAATTTAGAGCAGTTAAATGAAAAGACAACTTTTCCCGTGGAAGAAGCCAACTAAAAAAAATTAATCGGGAGTCTCTATAGAGCACATTCCCAGAGGGAGCTGCAAACCAGCAGCTATTGGCCTTTGGTTTGGACCCAGAAGGAATGGTGATCTTGACGGGGTTATAGCTGGATTCAATTAAAAAGTTTTCTTTGATATTATCCTTCCATTTGTCACATACCAAGAGGTGCACTGAATCCCACTAGCCCTGGATCTTTTTTGGACACTTTTGCTCAGATGTAGGCAGGGCCAGGCAGTAGAAATGCAAGGGAATTTTTTTATGACTTCTGGCAGTATGTTGCAACGAACAAGCCCAGCTGATTGAGAGAGAGAGAAATAGAGAGAGAAAGACATATCTCCCAATATTTTCTCTTTTATTTCAATGGATAGCATCAATTTTGAATTGTGAACATTGTTATTGTAAGAATTTGGAATATTTGCTGAAAAGAATTGAAATTCAAGAACACAGTTGCTTAAAGGTTTTTTGTTTTTGTTTTGTGTGTGTGTGTTTTTTTTTTCTTAAAAGCTTTCAAAGAACTTTGCTTTTGAAATGCCTTAAAACAAATTTCATTTTCTTCTCGTACCAGACATATGAAAAAAAATCTTCCAGGATATAATAGCTACTTTACTTGATCCTTCCTTAATGTTTAATCATATTTTTTTTTTTATTGATTAAAATAAAAAGGGTTTTTAAATACATATATACATCTCAATAGTCATATAGGTGTGCTTTAGTTTCATGGAGGTAAAACATAAAAACAAATACACTTTAACAAACCAAAATTTATTTTACCTGCTATTTTGTATGTGACAGCAACAAGTAGCAGATCCTTGGTGAAACAGCATAAGGATTTTTTTCTCTGTGATTCTGTCTCTGGCTACTCATCCCCAGAGTTTGGGTCACATCTCCCTGTATAAATACACACAAAGAGATGGATGAGTCTTCATTTTTTGCTGTTTCCATCCACTGGGAAAGTTTTAATTAATTTAAATTCTCAGAAGGGTTCAGAGAACTGAAAGGAATGCAACATCTTTGGAGGGCTTTTCTCAGAGGCAGGGCTTAGTTACTTCATCATACCAGGATCTGCTTACTATCTCTTTGATAAGGCATTATTAAGTATGTCAGAGATATTATTTGTAAGATACACATATTATAGGTAGTTTGTTTATAGATAGTAGTCTCTTACCTCCTATCCTGCACGTTCTGCATAGTCCCAGATTTCCTCCCTCTTGAGCCTTCATCCTAGGGAACATTCAAATTCATTTTTTCAGAAGGAAGCCCTGGTTGTATATATAACATTTTAGCCATATGCATGGATTGTGTTTATTACAACTTCTGTGATTCCATCAACTTTTCTCTAGAAAACCACTACGTCCTTTGTCAAGTAGAGGGTTTTTGTCCCAGCCTCATGAAGACTGTGATACTATTGTTTCTTTTTATATTTAACATAAAACATTTTTTAAAAGAAAATGTAGATGTGCTTTGTTTACAAGTAAAATCAATTTTCTTTTAAACATAAAGAACAAATTGAGGTGCAAAAGAGAAATTTTTAAAATAATGTTGAAGAAACAGAGCCAAAAAAATGGAAATCAGTCATTTTTAAATATATATATTATACATAAAAATTCAAAGACAAACTTTATTAAACAAAGAATTAATTCAAAATAGAGAACTGTTTGATCTTAAGGTGAAAATTAATATAGTAAGGATTACTGTGATATTCCTTCAATATGCAAGAGGCATAGTTTGAGCCAATCCATATTTATGGATGGACTAATTAAGGCACTGCAAGAAAATGTCTGACATAAAATAGAAAATAAGGAAATAAGTCAAGGAAAGTGCCTAAGAAAAAGATGTTGAATAATTAACTGGCCTGAGATTAACCCAAAATCCTTCTTATTTTGTCAGCTTTACTATTATTATTTTTAGCACTTCCCATTCAAATTGTGTTAAACTCATGCACAAAGTCTTCTGATGGGAAGTGCTACTCTTCTGTTTTAGGATGAGATGAACAAATCCATGGAGTTGTCATTGTTGAGAGGCTAGATGACTAGCTCAGAGCCTCTGATACATCCAGTTCCCTATGCCTCCATAAATCCTGATGGGATTGTAGGTCTTCACTACTTTGTGAGCTGTCTGGAATACCAGTGGCCCAATTACATATACAAACACTACACATTTAGGAAATAGGCATGGTAACTGCAAGCAAAGTAGCCATCTGGGCAACTCTGAATGCTTTGCAAGTGTGATAATGTTATTTGGCTGGGTAAGTGCAATGAGGAAATGCAGGTGTACTCTATGTTCATGACGTAGATACACACAGCACTAGGGACACTATTTCATTACTTTGGTTATTACATTTGAGAACAGCTGTTGAACAAAGTGCATGACATAAGGCTAGATATACAGAGAGACGTAAGCACCCAGGTCTTCCAAGACATGTCTGAGATGCTGCCTAGCCCAAGATTTCTTGTTCCCGTGCATGCAAAGTTTGCATAAAAGAAGTTCTGCCACTTCTCTAAATACTGGTGCAGGTCACGTGAGCTGCTGAACAGGATCAACTAAACCAACAAATTCCTGTCCTGGCAACCTTCAGGGCCTAGGGAGTTACCTGAGAGCAGGACTCCTAGTTAGGACACCTCACCCAAGCTCTTCCATTCCTTACCACTCTCAGCAGGAGATAGGCACAAACCCTGTAATTACAGCAGGCAGGGCAAGATGTTGAAACTGAGCCTGGGTGACTTTGCATTCCTGGACATGGGTAGAGAATGGGAAGAGCTCTCCTCTGGTCGCTGTGTTTCACCTGAGATGAGAAGAGGACAAGTTCAGACAATGCTCTTCAAGAAGCTACATATGCTGAGTAAGCTATTGCTCCTTCTTAGCCACACATACACCTGAGCTACTGGGAGGTAACATTGACTCCACACATATCTGCTCAGTGTCTCTACCAGTATATGGTAGCTTCTCAAAAAGTGTTTTGATTTGTAACTCTCATTATTTTTTTGATGCATGTTATAGACAATTACGTGCCTAATTCAGGAAACTAGAAGCACAAGAATAACACTAAACAAAATTCATGGAGCTCTACCTACAGATCCTTCGCTGATTTCCCACCTGAAATGTTTTAGAGGCACCAGAAATAATCTGCCTGAACTGGCTTTGGGGCAGGAAATTCTGGATTTCATCCAGATCCTGTCCCTAATCACAGCACATCCCTGTACTGATCCTGAGCTCACTGCTGGAACCAAGCAATGCACTTAAGGTCCACAGCCTGGCCTTGCAAAGCCAAAATCTGTTCAGAGAGAGGTTGAGTAGTGGCCTCAGACAGAATCACAGTATTTTGAGATCTTTAATTCCTCCCCCATAAAACAGCAGTGTGCAACAGTACACAAGTTCTCCATGTTAATTTGCTCTTTGAAAAATGGACTTGATGAGAAAATCAAGTGTTCCTTCAGTGGAATTACGTTTGAAAATGGAAGCACAGCAAGGCAATTTGCCTCAGTAACTAATTTCTCATGTCTGCAGCTTAGAAGCATCAATACTTTAGCAGCCACTGGGTTAGATAATTGGAAATAAGGGTGATTCTTTCACAGAAAGCTGATATGAAGGCTGACTCAGACTGGATTTCCACTCTGTGGGTTCATTTCCAATGTCAAACTGAAAAGGGACTGGAGGAAGTCTTCTATACCCATGAATCAGAAGTCATTATTGTGACCAACCTGAGAGAGAAAAAAAAAATCTACTCAAAAAGTAAGAAGAGGGAGGGGACTGTGTTTAATCTGAGGAAAAATGCTTAAAATTTGTTTAAAAAAGAAAAGTCTAAACTGACTTTTCAACCATTAGAAGTTCATTAGTGTTGCCAAAGTAGTCAGAAATCTTAAGGGTGCTGTGTCTTAATTTGGCTATGCCTACACACTTTGGGCAAGCTATGTTATCTCTCCGTGACTTGCTCTGTTATCATTTATTACACAACAAGTGGAAAACATTACACAAGCCGGCTATGTGCAAAGCAGTGTGAGTCCAACAGTGTTGTTTTTCAGAGCACATATGAACTCATCCCTCAGATCTTAGCATGTGGAAGTTCAAATCCTTGTACTTTCAGAGGAATTTCACAGAGGGAGGCTGAGAGAGCTTGCAAACTGCAGAAGACTATTTGCATTTCTTTTCCTTTCTTAAAGCATAGAGAATCCCCTAACAGAATAAGTCATTAATATTAAATGGAGGTAATCAGCAACATAACTGCTAGGAAAACTGCATAGTCAGTTCATTAGTTAACACATTCAAAGTCCTATAAAACTGAAACACAATGCTTTTACAATTCTGTCTTTCCCATAGAGCAGAGCAGAAGTGTAAACACCAGGCTAGGTAGCTGTTACTCTATTGCAACCCTGAATACTCCTAGGACAAGAGAATTTTTCTCCCTAGTTACATCTATTTTCCTTCAGGCTGTGGTTGTGACAACGTCAACATATCTCCTGCATAGAGGCGGATGTGGAAGCTGGCTCCAGTGTGACCCTGTTCTCCAAAGATCAAGGCTGTGTTGCTGGCTGTTTCAGTGGGCACTTGCAGTAGCCTCAGCAAGGAGTAATGGGAACCATCAGTACCGTTCCCTCCGTTCTCCCTTTCTACAATTCATTAATCACCTCTATACTACACTGTGATTTGCAGATCTGCAGCTTGGCCCAGGGGACTCTCGTCTTACTGCTTTGTAAATTAATGAAATTTTGTACATTGAGAGTTTGCATCTTCTGGGCCACTGAGTTCTGTGATATGCAAACATAGATTTACCAGGAGAGAGGAGGCACGTTGAGGTCAGAGTCCTCCACACTAGCTCTCCTTCAGGCAGCTTGTGCTTCAAGTCACATCACAAGGAAGGGGCTGTGCTAATGAACAATGTTCCCTATCAATAATGAAATTGGCCCCCCACCCCTGTACAGCTATTATCATACATATAGACTCAGAACAAATCACCATTCAAATACAAGTGATATAAAATTGAGTAAATTATGGCTGAAGAACAGGCTGCACTAAAAAATAATTTCTGCTCCTTTTTCCTTTTTTTTTTCATGAGCATTATCTGCATGAATATCTCTAGGTATGTCTTCAAAGTAAATATTATTTAATGATTTCTCATTTATTTGTGCAGTACTATCTTTTATATCTTCAATGAAATCTTGGTGTGTTTTTCCCTTAATTATATCATGTTCAAGAAAGATCCAAGAGCATGTAAGAGAACTTAATACTCATAGCTTTGACTCCAGCAATTTCTCAATCTGTCTGTCTCCATCTGAGTATTTACAATACTTTAATCAGTTCATGCATTTTTGGATCATGTGTTTTTCTAAATTTAAAACCACTTCAAGAATAAAGGAAACAGAAGTCACATTCTTTTAACTCTTTCTTGTTCCTGTAATCCCTGTGATTTTGCGAGCTATCACATAAGCAATCTTTGATGAAGCTGAGGTAGGAGAAACAAGCCAAAATGCTTAACCAAGCATAATGCTTTGATAGGGAATGTTACCAGCAACAAGCAGAGCAGATACTCTTTGCAGAGAAACATAACATCATAGGTGGTGGCAGGGCTCTGGTTTGGTGGGGTTGAGAGCAGACCCTGTTGTAAACAACTAGTTCTTCCCCAAAAACAATAAGATACGCTCCTTCTGGTATCCCAAAGGCTGGATCCTGTGGTCTAATTGAGCATGTAATCCATGTGCATTGCAGCACTATATTAACCCAACAGGGTCACAACATGGACCAGATTCCACGTGGGAGTTAAAGAGATGATGAAGGGAAAACAGCATTACCCAGATTCAAACCAGTACTCAATAGCATACTCTTGTACATGCTATTCAAGCCTTGAAAAAGCAGTATTCAACCTTCTATTTTGCAAGGAAATTCTTAACAAAACCACACTTTTTGCTGAAATTTTACATTGGGTGCATCATTGTTGCATCTTGATAGAACAGCTCTCATTAAGTGAAAGCATAAAGGGACAGATGCCCTAATAATAGCTTGTTTTGAAGTGCAAAATGGGCTTAAGTACTCAGCATGTCATCTTCTAATCAGGAATGAAGGTTTTAATGCAAGGCTTCCTGACAATCTCAATTTTGTAGTGCTTATATAAATGAATATGTAGATATGTGTAAGGTTTTTTTATTTATTTATTTTACTGCGTAGGTAAAGGAATGCATTTCCTGGTAATACAAAATACGATCTGACTACAAATGCAGCCAGGGCTATCTGCTCCTGTGAAAAAAAATGTTAGGTGATCACATCTGAAAGCTCCCCCAGTTACAGAAATACATAGCACTCTTGGAATGATTTGTCCCACTAAAAGGACAACTGAGAATCTGTTGCCTTGAATACTGCATACAATAATCTGTGCATATAGCAAGTCAGCACTCTGATTGCTTGAACCCTAAAGTAGCCTACACTCAGCTTGAACTCTTAGGAAGAGCTCATGTAAAGGCCCTTAGAGTTTAGGTTTCTATCGAGCTTGTCTCCCCTGGAGACAGAAAGGTTGGAAGGACTCACAGGCCTAGGAGATGGTCTTAGTTTCTCTCACCTTTGAACATGTCCACACCTCACTCTCCAACTGCCTCACCATTCTGACACCTCTGTTAATTCACTACAATCTTTATAACTGCCACCAATGTCCTTTCCGGAGACCTATCAGGTTTAGCTGAACAATCTTCTGGAATTCCTCTAAGGATGGAGGAACACGCCATACGGTCAGCCTGCTAAAGTAACTCCAGAAAAATCAATGGCAGCTCCACAATGTTCTTCCTGGTAAATGATTAGTCAGGGGGAGAAGTCTGGCTGCAGGGTCTTTGATCCATGAACATATCTGTAGTAATTGGGGTCATGGTACTTCCTGTAGTTAGTGCGTTTTGAAAGGCCAAAGTCAGTAACCCCTGAGTAATTGGGACTGTTACTGAGCAAATGGCATACTCTGAAGCAATCACTTTATGTTAATTACCTGGGGGGCATCTAGAGGTGAAAGTTTGTAGCAACAAAACAGAGCTAGAAATAAAACCTGGGATAAACCATTGCAAATTTAGTCCAAAATCCTGTCTTTGGTCTGCTTATGGTTCACCATAATCTGGGCTCTGGAATGGGACCCTGAAGAAATTACTTCTGTCATCTCAAACTACCAACCAAACCCCTGTCATGGTGCTCCTGGACATGTATAGTGAAGTCCAGAAGGACAGCTTCTGGTCAGTGCCTCTACTGCTTCAAAAGAGCAGATGCTGGAGCAACTAGGACAAGGCTTGCAGTACTAGTGGTTTACCTTCATCATGCTGCTGGGGATATGCTATATGCCAGAGCAGGGAAATAATCCAGGCTTTAAAAACCAACACTCCAAAAGAACAACTGAATGTCCAAGAACATAGTATTATAAAGAAAATGTGCACGTACTTTCATTTAGAAATTTAGTCAAACATACCAGGCCAGCACTGCAATATCAGTATGAACCAGCATACATTCCCATCCCCAGATACTGTTTTCCTAAATTTTTGTAGAGTGAGAGATGACATGGTGCCAGAGCTACTTTGACAGATGATAAAAAAAAAATCTGGAATCACCTTTTTCAAGGCTTGATTATTCACTACAGCGAGGAGAAATTACAGCAGCCAAAGATTGCTTTATACTCATAAGTCCTATTCATAGTGAAGATGATACTGCATGAAAATTTAACATGTATAATAATAGGCACATGCTCTCTCAAAGGGTTCCAATGCACTTTGGAAATAGCATAATATTGGCTCAGATATGGGCCAAGCCATGCCCCTTCTGCATCTGCACAATAGTCACAATGCCTTTATGGCACTATTCAGATATACCTCCATCTGAAAACTATTTGAAGCACTGGCAGTGCTACAAGGCAGTGCTTTGTACAGAGAAGTGTTGTTCTGGAGCCTCATGCATTTTGGCCCTGCAGCACATTCTGTTGTGCTGTAGAAGGTGAGTGCACAATTTGACAAGCCATTCCCATCTCTCACCACATGAAAATCAACCATTGCTCTGTGGGTAGCTAATTCACAGAGATCATATTAGGCATGTGATATAAGTTACACAAGATTTCTTGTTCGAGGGCTCGAATGGAGCTTTTTTCCTTCATCTTATATATTTCTCAGTTCACTGGAAACTATCAGGCAGATGCTAGAAGAAAGATCACTACATGACATGCAGTGAAAGGATAATGGAATATTATATATTTAAATACACAGAAACATAAGCACATGAACTAGGAGTAGTTTGCAGACAAATTTCTCTGTACAACATGGATTGTGAATATTTTGTTGGCTGGCAATAAATTATTGATTCATTATACTTTGAAAGAGTCTTTCTTACATTCATTGGTTGTCCTCTTTTGACTGAGACTGAACACTGAGTTCATCCTTCCCAGCAAATACAGGGCTAAGGATAAAAGCAGGGTGGACCATCCCGGCTCTGTCCTTGCACTGACCTTTCCATGTCAGTGTGCTTTACAGTGTCTGCAGCAAAGCTGTGCTCTGCTTTGGTCTTTGCCTCAACAAACACATGCTTTAGTGGGGTTGGTTCAGAGCAGACCAGATGTGCTTCTCCTCTTTCCCCTCCTCTTGGCTGAGAGACTGACCTGCTGACACTCACCTGAGAAGGAGCCAGCTAGAGATTCCCCATGCTGCAAATGGGCTCGTCTTCCATTTCCACCTCCTTGGGCTTTGGCATCAGAGTTGAGAGAGCAAAGGTGATATCTGCTTTTACACATAAAAGGAATGGTTAGAGTAAGATCACTTTTTCCCCACTTTTCCTTACAAGAAATTGTTTGAAGGTAGTAAAATTATGTCTGAATACTTAATATTCAGATGAGGTTTAGTCCTTTTTCAACAACCTTGAATAAATGATAGAGAACATGATAACACCGTAGTGGCAGTTTATGCTAATGATCAAAGCAGTCTATCATTGGGGAATAAATGTTCTACCTAAGGAAAAAAAAAATTGTTAAGCCCTAAAGAAATTTATTACCTAGAAGGAAAATTCACTTAAAATTGTCCCACTTAGTCTGTTAAAAAGAAAGAAGGCAGTTCATATCATATCATTGACTTTCTTCTACTTTTGCAGTACATTTGGCTGAAACAGCTCAAGTGAAAACTAGGAATCAACATTAGTTTCTGCTCTCTGAATACCATTGAGGTATTTTCCCTGCTGTACAATACAGGGAGCAAATATACCCTGTTCACTCTGCATTGCAAGCTTCTTCTCTCTGAAATGACACATAAACTGGGAAAAGAACTAACCTTCAGTTTGATTTACATAGAGGATTGACTCACCTTCTCTACCTCAAATCCTTTGTACTTTGATCTACCAACCCAAATAGATCATTTTTATATTAATCAACTCTGCTACTCTCCTCCAGCTCTTCAGTGAACTCATTTGTCATCTTTCTGAAGGCAACACACTCTGCAGATTTCTCTCATCCTGGTGAGTCCTTTAAGCTGCACTCATACCTTAACAAGCATTTCAGAGCTCTTTGTTCTAGGGAATCCCCTTTTCCAGGTGGTGACCCCCAAATAACAGACACTGCCCTCAGCCTTCCAAGATCACCTCTGAATCTCCTCTTAGGAGAAGCATGCCTGATAGTGGTCCAGCTGCAGAGCCTTACAGAAGTGAACCAGATGAAAAGGCTCATATTTACTTCCTACTTCTACATATTTAGGTGTGGCTTCTGCTTTAGAAATACCTAACTCTTCTATTTATGATCATGCCTGCAGCACCTGGCATCAGAGCAATTTCTCAGTGTATCTCACTGTTTTCTATAGGGAGGCAGTACACTTTTTTTTCTCTTATAACCCATGTTTTGTTAAGGAGAAAGTTCTGCTACAGAAAAGAGTGGAAAAATATATATCTACATATATATGTTATGTATTCTATACATTTATAATGTATGATGTATATATACGTATATATATTTAGAAATGAAATATCTGAGATACCTGGTGCAGATCCCTAATCATGTGCAAAAAAAAATATTCAGTTTTGGATTTCAGGCCTTATTGATAGGGACTGAACTAGACCCAATTAATTTTATACAAACTGCAGAATAATCTGCAGATGATAAATACTTAAAGCTCTTTGATTTGAGTATGGTTGTAGGCAGAAATGTTTTTAATTAGCAAGTGGATTGTTAGATAGATGGATGGATGGATGAATAACATCATGCAAAAAGCTTCTGAAACTCTGCCTAAACAAACAAACAAATAAAAAGATAAGCAGATTTTTCTCTTGTTATGATAGCTTTCTAATCCGTGTTCAATGCAGCAGAAATACAAAGTAAAATCCATACATTCAGAGCTTATTCTTTTGTTCTTGGTACACAGAACACATCTAACTACCCATAGCAAAATGCTATGCTACTGAGATATTGAGTGAATTAAGGACAGCGTGAATTTATACATAGTGCAATTGTACAGAATTTCCACAGCACAGAAGACACAATGTATGGTTCTTTACCACTTTTTCTAGTCTAACCAAGAAGCTGTCGTTGTCATAATTTGTACTTACCTGGTACCTTCCAGTTGATTTTTATTGTTCTTATTGTTCCTGATGTTGATATAACTACTTGGTGTTTCTGTTGGAAGAAAATATGGAAAGAGAGGAGCTGATACCCAAGAGAACAAGATAAATTACTGGGAATAAATTAGGCAGTTTAATGTATCAAAGTCTATTGGAAATAATAGAAAGAACATTTATCAGAAGGTCTGGAGAACACATGATCCTTGATTGTCAGCCTCTATTCATTTAAAGAAGATTTATCATTCTCAGGGACATTAATGCATTTTATGGGCACTTGACTAGCTAGTCATTTATCATCATACACATTTTAGATCCTAAATAGGCCAGATATTTAAAAAGTAATAATTAAAAACTTTTAAATTATATACTTACACCTATTGATTCATAGGGCACTCGGGGACATGCCATAGTTTGTTGGTTTAATAGGATTGCTTACCTACCTGATTAGAGTTAATCACCTCTCTGAAAATCAACTGTACCTTTCAATTTTATTATATAAAAGCAAGCTGGATCCAAAGACTAATTGAAGTCACTTGTTCCTTTTCACCAAGTTTCATTGACTCTCTGGTGCCTTTAGTACAGCAAGTGGTAGTACCACCCATCTCACAGACTGTGTAGTAATCCTAGAAAATGAGCAGAAAAGGCTGAGAAGGACAGATAATTAACAGTACACAGAGAGGACAAATGACCCAGGGACTGTCCAGCTTGGAAAACAAATGAGAATATACCTAGAGCTGCATCAGACTGTACAGGCGCTGTTGTTAAACTGCTTCCTAAGAATCCTTCCCTTGCTCTCATCAGAGACATGACATGGAGCTGGATGGACCTCACTGACCCTTGCTTGCATGTCTGTAACCAGCCTTCCTGCAGAAATCCACAGGTCTCCTTCTGTACTGACCCAGGCATTACACAAGAAACTTTCTTTTTGGCAGCACGCTTCTCAATTGTTTTGTTTTGTCAATAAATTTTTAAGAGCAATGGGAAGATGTCTTTTTTTTATTTATGTATTTCCAGTATTACTTCTCTACCTTTATACGCTTCTTCAGAATACAAGGAGTATTCCTCTGAAAGTCTGCCATCATTCTGTCATCATCTTCCCTGATGCTCAACCTTAGCAAACAGAAAAGAAATTAATACAAATTATAATTATTGCTAAAGACAAACAAGAAAACTGTTCAGTGTTACACATGGATAAAAAGTCACTACTCTGATTAGTTTGCAGTGCAGAGGAGAAGGAAAAACTAGCAAAAATACAGCAAAGGGACTCAGAAATGAACAAGACACAGCACATAATGATGTTTAGGTGCCAAAATCCTTGCAGAAGGGATCTTTCTGGGCAGAAAGAATTGGTGCACTCTTGCATTTTGTGTAGAGATGCCTGCAAAAAGTCAATCCATCTGTTCTTTTTCATTCTTACTGATAATATGAGGAGAAAAATACAGGCTTCATCAGAGTCCATCTCTTTTGGAAGATGCAGTAAGGAATCTGTGCACCCAACTAGCATTAAACCTGACATAAACTTTAAGCTTTCTACAAGCAGTTTTTTCATGTCAAAGCCAATTCTGGGTCAAGCGGCTTATAAATCTCCAAGGTTCATCTGAAATTCTGGATTTTGCATGCCTGTGCTCGTCAAGCCAATGCAAATTAGAAGCACTTTATGCAATCTTTAAAAGCTGCTTCCCAGAAAACTTCTGATTGCTTGTTTGCCAAACTGCACCTGACAGAGTTGCATTCTTGAACAATAAGGCAACAGTGGGATAGGAATTCCTTACCTTTTGAGTATTTTCTAAAAATTTAATGTACTTGAAGTGATTTCCCTGAACCCATCATGCTCCTGTATTCTCCATCATGATCCTGTATGAAGGAGCATGGAAAATCAGTGAATTTCCATTTTGTACAAGTATTATTTTTGAGTGTAATTGCTCTGCTTGATTGTAATTGCTACAAACACACAATTTAGTAGCCTTACTGGCACTACAAAGCGCCATCTTTTGGATTGCTTTTTGATTAATTACATGTTTTTTGCTGAAGTCTAAAGCTAGTTAAAGATCTAAGGAAACACATCTTTTTGTCATAAAATGTGCCAAATTAAATTTCTTTCATGGGAACACATTGATTTCAGTAAAACTGAACATCAGAAATGGAAATTGAGCATGGAACATCTTGTACAATAATAAACCAAATGATGCAAAACATAAATTTAAATGCAATATTGGAAAAGATGACATCTGAAGTAATAGGTTTTCAGAAATACTGTACTTGAAATTTTGAAATCTGATAGTCTGCTGTGATTCAAGACAAAAAAGAAGCCAGAATTTTGGGGCTTCTCATGAAGTAGACATTAATGCTTTTTCTACTTCTCTTTTGCACAGTTTATCAAGTCTCAGTGTCATTAAAGTTCCTGCATTCAGTGCCATCTTCACACTGCTTGGGGCTGAAGGATAAGCAGATCCACTGCAGATAAAATGGTGGTACTCTGGAGTGAACCACATAAATGCACTGGACTCTGAAAAATCATTTAGCTTCAAGTCAGACTTGAAGGAAATGGCTTAAATTTTGTAAACTATCTCTCCAGTATCTTCCCAGTATCTCCCCAGTTATCCTTCCTTTGGTCCATTTTGAGATTTAGATCCATGCTTAATAAGTATTTAAGCATGAGTTTTACTTTACCCACAAGTAATACTGTGAACATCTAGTCATGGGCTAAGAGGGATGCATATTATTTACCTAATTAAATCAGAAGGTCTTCACTAACTGCCTGTTTTCCAGTGTATTTATAAAGTTCCCAGAAAATCCAACTCTCCATCTCAACAGGAAGGAAGGAAGAACTACGGGTGATATACTACAGTTTGCTTACAAGATCTCTGTACTGTTTTGTTTTTTTTGACCCCATAACACTCCTTTATGAAGATGAAAATGCAGATACAATTTTATGTGTTCTTTAGGTTTTGTGCTTTTCTTTTAGATTCTGTATTTTCCACTAACCTTGGGTTAAACAGGAATCGTTTCTGCCTAACCAAAGTCCTCACTGTGACAGCTTTGCTGCATAAGTTTTGTTCCCATTCTCTCTGTGCTAAGCTGCTGACATCTACAGGGAAGGAAAAGGCTCAGATTTGCAAAGACAACTATTTGAAATTCTTTACATTCTTTCTCCCAACCCTATTACACTGCAGTCAATTTATACCCAGCCTTTACTATATTTTCTTTCCAAATAAATGTAATTTTCAAGGAATATACCCAACTGACAAATGTGGAAAATGAAACACTGTCCAAAGGATAAGGTTAATAGTGTTATGAGCATCATATATTTTCATCAATTAACAATGTGCCACCAGCCATAATGGGCTAATCACCCCAGGTCTGGGTAAACCTTAGGAGCTTGACCGTTCTTGACTTCCCTGCAAAGACAGACAAACGATGCTTTTTCCATTTCTATTGGATCCTTCTGCCATCTGGACAGATTTTTGTCCACAGTAACCAGAAAACCAGTGCAAACCTCATTGCAAAATCACTCATGAAACAGGCAGTGGTGTCTAATAATCTTCTAGTCATTGAACTCTCAAGATTTTTGCCACTAAAAACACCATAAGAGAGCACTCAGTATTTTCCATGACCCAGTGAAACTGCTACATGACTGCACTGGAATTGAATTCACATGATACAGTACTGGGAGCATTCATCACTTGTTTCTATACTCTTGAGCCAACCATGTCCTATATCTGATCACTCTAAATATTTGGCTGTTCTTCCTCACAGTATGCTTAACAAAAAGGCCACAATGGTGCTAATCATCCTGCTGTGACTCTGGTTTGGCTACATAGCAGTTTTGCTTCCAGCTCAAGAAAAAGGAAATTAAAAAAGTAATGAAAAAAAAAAAGTACTTAATGAGAAACAAAAATGTAAGCAGCACTACTCCAACTCATAAGAAAGTTATGGGTTTTTTTTACTGGAATGATATCTTTTGCCTGCTTTTATCTACACACACTAGGATTCTAGGATTTTTTTATTTTTTTTCTCAGCAAGATTAGCGCTATACTTTCTGCTTCTTTAACCTCATTAATAACATTTTAAATAACATCTTTAACTTCATTAATAACCTCATTAATAACATGTCGTATTTTATACTGAACTATATACAACCTGACAGCTTCTTCCCACAGAAATCAGTCCTTCATGCATTAGGAGAAGCAGGAGCTGGCTTTCAGTATGTGTAGCAGTCTGTGTCACAGCTGTATTTCCATTTCAGTTATTTCTTTCACTTAAAGTTAAGTACAAATGGAAAAATCCCCCATTTTCTGGCTGTAACTAATGGGCTGCTGTTGCATTTTTGCATTGCTAAAAGTGTTTACTGCATTCTGCTCCAAGTGCAATAAAATATTGTAGAACCTGAACTTTTAGTACAAACACATCCAGAACAAATACGCAGAGTTGGGAAAGGCCAGTTAGCAGCTCTCATCTGTCCCCTAGGCACTGGGGAATTTCCTAGGAGCAACGTCCTTCACCTGCCAGCAAAATTAAGAGGGGCAGTACCCTGTTACAGCTAAACCAACCTAATGGCTTATTTTCTGAGCCAGAAGCTGTGCTCGTTGTGCCTCCTGCTCACCACTCTGGCTCTGGTGTACATTTCACCTTGTGGCAAGTCAGTTTGGGCACAAAGCTGGTGTACAACTACTGAGAAGAAGCAATCCAGACATTAGGTGATATACTGCAGACTTTTAAAACTGTATCTGACATTCTGTGGACCTAGGTAATCTTCAACAGAGTTTGAATATCGGATGTTAATATACAGCCTTTTCTTTTGAGATGAATGACAATTGTTAAAAGTGACATAAAGTGTTCTTGTAATGTCCTTCCTCCATAGAGCACAGCAGCTCCCATTTCTGTTTGGTTCTTCACCTGAGGTATGGAGTTTAGACAGAAAGAAACCTGAGAACTCAAATGAGGTGCCAAGGTTTCTCTGCAAACACATTCTTTCTCGTACCAATGACATTACAGCATGCAAACAGCACTAGGAAATACAGGACCATCAGCTGTCACAGCACATGGCCGACATTACCTCACAAATATGTTTGCTGTATTTGCTAAGAGTCACCTCCTAGAAGGATCTGAATTTCCCTGATTTAAATGAGGAAAGCCAGCAGGAAGGGACAGGTGAGACTGAGGCAGCCTTGACTCTTTTTGTAGGACTGAGAGATTTCAGCCATCTGGGATCTAACTGTCCACCCACCCAGACAGAGGGGCATACACCTCTGTTGTTAATTTTGCAACCTTTCAGGTAATCAGGAGAGACCCTGTAACTATTTACATCATAAAATCGGTGGGAAAGCTGAGCACAGAATGGAGGGGGCAGAAACTTTTCTTTCTGGCCTTTGTGGTGCCATCTCCAGAGGTTCTTGGCCTCTCCATGCAAACAGCCACCCCTGAGCTGCGAGGCCATGGATCCGATTCCAATCCATATTGCTTACAAGAGTGGACCCTGAGCAGTTGCTCATATATGCTCCTGAAGCCATCTACTGGGAAGGTTTTGGTACAATTAAACCCACTGCAAGACAGGGAGCGCGCTCAGAGACCTCTCAGTATCCTTTCAGTTCACCAGTCCTGACTGGTCTTTTGTACTTGAGGGCAATGCTGCCCAAATCAGTTTAAGATGCCCCTCAAAACCCTTCTGCCAAAGTAACAGAGAGACAGTTCAGCAGCAGACAAGAAAAGCCAAAGGCTGTAGATGTGGTATTGCTCCTGGGGAAGTGCTTGTGGCACTGCAGAAAACAAAAAATTATTTTCTTTAGGTCAGGTAAGGATATGTAAGGAAAAAATCATACCCCTATCCTGAGGGTATCTGTGAAGGGGAAATACCTAGCAGGTTCAGCCAGCTTCAGTCAGTAGACTGATCAGACTTCATACCTGGAATATTTTACCCCTTTACGTAAGGGAGGAAATCATCTTCCTTCCCCTAGCCCTGTTCATGCTCTCCATTTTCTTTCAGACCTCTCACTAAGAAACACAAACCTTGCACATCAGCAGTGTATATCCCTTGGTAGATCTTACAATCACAACTCAGCAAACACCTTTTCCACTCAAATGTATGATATTCTTTGTGCTTTATAAATTTATGTATCTTCCGATGTGCATTACTGTTATCATAAAGGTTTATTTCACCTATCGCACAAGAAGAATTTAAGAGACACACAGTGAAGGAGCCTGCTAAGAAAACAAATGAAATGGGAAGAATCAAGGCTTTCCTGTGCTGGTAGAACCCTGGTCCCTAGGACATGACTTAAGATCCTTGTTAAGTCCCTTAGCCTTGCATGTCCCCTTCCTATGCTATCAGTATCTTTCCAGATCAACCTACTCTGCATAGCAAAATATGAATCTTTCATCAAATATTCCTGGGGAAAAATATTCTATGCCCTCTCTACCAAACCTGCTCAATAATTTACACACAACAGCCCCAGTTTCAAAGCAGGATCTTACATACTGTTCAGCTGCCAGAAACAGGTATTATATATTGAGTTTATTTTGGCTGCAGTTTTTGTCTGCTTTTGTGTATTCAAAGTGATAATCCTTGGCCAAGCCATTTCATCAAATATCTTAAGGATCTGACCCTTCCCTTACTGAATGGTGGCAGAACTCCCACTAACACCATGAAAACAGGATCAAGCTCTTAATCTTTTATGCAAAGTAGGAATGCATTTTTTCAGCTCCTGAACCACAGACGCCACCCATGTCACTGCATTTTTCAGTTAAACACCTGTTTGTTGTTTAGTATTTTCCCAATGTTGGGTTTTCTATAGCTTGTATTTAACTCTTTAAGAAAGAAAAATTTAAATAAGAGGGAGAGGAGAGCAGAGGAGAGG